AGACTCGGGAGGAAAAAAAAAATTTGATATGTTGTAGAACTGAAGACAGAAAAAAGTTTTTTGACGAAAAACTCGGGAAAGGTGAACGAGATACAGATTTTTTAATACTAAAAAACTGTTGGAAAAAGGGGCGTAACCACCCATTTTTACACCTCCGCCCCCCCCCCCCCCCCCCCCTGTTTTTAAATATTCAAAAATCTGTATCTCATTCACCGTTGCTCAGTTTTTGCTCAAACTACTTTTTTTCTGTCTTAGAAAAATCAGTTGTACAACATATCAAAACATTTTTGTCCCTCCGGAGCCTGACTTTAACCTTTCACCATGTTTGTGCTTGTGTATGCAACACCACTGTTTCTTGAAGCACAGAGGTACAACAGAGATCATTGATTTTAAACCTCATCACCATAATATTTTAAGCTTGCCAGAAAAGAATTTTTAATATTAATTAAAAGCTGATATCATTAGTGTTATATTTTACCTTGAGCATTCCATGATAACATAATACTAGTGGTTTTTTTTCAATAATATTTGTGCTTCTTATACTGTTTGATAGTTGGTTCAGTGTACAACTTTTTTAAGCTGTTCACCTTCAAGTTTTCAAACACAAGTATACATGTGATTTTTCCAAATATGGGCCTGATCACACCCATATATAGGCATGATGATGTCATATCACACCCATATATGGGCACATCACAGGTATTTGTCACAAAAAAAAACTGATAATGTGAATAGACCCTTCATTGACAACAATAAAATAATAGCTTGAATGTTGGCATGTAGGTACAAGATGTGTTCTACTCCCCTGAAGTGGAAGGATTTGCTTGCTCAAAAGAAACAAGGCAGAAAGTATGTAAGCTTCAGCTGTGACTGGAATGAGCCTGGATACACACCATTCTGCTTCAATGTAAGTAAAATAGTAATAGTAACTTTTTAACCAGGCTTTACTGAATACATGATTTTGTGGACCTCATTTTTATTCATATTGTATTGGTTTTTGTAGTAATGACTAATAGATATCTCTAGTAGCACATTGAGGTACACAGGGCCACATTACTCCGATTTTGTATGTTAAAATAGCCTACACTATCACTAAAATTGGTTTACACTATCACTAAAATTGGTTCATAAATTGTTCTCCCCTACATTTTTTTTCATTTTAAATGTACTCCTCTCCCACTTCTAACCATCCCCACTCACAGCTTCCACAATGTTCCCATAATACACTATTGCCCTCCCTAATTTTTGTCTTTCCTACTATGCCCTCGAGGTCTGTTGTTCACAATACAACAGAAAGGGCTTATCTGTTTTTCCATCATTTTTAGAACACATTCTCTAAAATATGTTTAATTGAGATTATAAATTGTGCTCCTTTTAAAGCATACACACACCATCTCATCCCCATGTATGTATTACACTTGTGAGCATGATTCCAAGATCCTTAGAGGCAGTTACTTTCAGCATATTCAGAATCTTGATATCTTGTTTTGATCATGCAGTATCCATAGATTAGTTTCTCTATGCTCTTTTACCTTGAATATTTTCTGAAAGCATACTAATATTATCATTAGCAACAATAAAAGTATAAATAATAATAAACATGATTTATATAGTACACATATCCACTTAGAAACTGCTCAATGCGTACTTAAATTAATAGAATTAATTCTTTATAGATATTTACAGATAGATTACATTGATTATTGTGTTGTGCTAAGATAAAAAAAAATTATTTGGGATATTTTTCATCAATTTATGAACAATTTAATCAAGTATTACTATTAACTTGTTTAATATTTGTCTTTTTTATCATTACAGATTATAAATATGATTATAATTTTTTTTTTAAATTGTTAAATTCCCAAATTATTTTGTTTATGTAAGAATGGTATATCAACTTAAAAAAACCTTTTTATCCTATTAACCAACAATAGTAAAATTTGCCAACTTTGCCTAACTCGAATAATTTTTAATCAATCATATTTTACATGCCAAATTAACGATCTGTAAGTCAAATTTTAACTAAAGTGGAAACAATTTCCGAATACCATTTTGTATTCAACGTAAGCAAGTTCAACTGTATATTTGTATTTACTTTCATAGAGTTGTATATATGAAAATTAAACTGTAAATCCACCCAAACTGTTGTATTGGCAGGAATTTGCCATTACGTTACATACAAACCTCCAAATACATGCATACTAAATTGTATAGTAGTTTGATATTTAAAGTGTGTATATGAAACGTCTGTAACATAACATACTGCATATTTTTCTTGTGCATGCTAACAGCCATTCATTAATAATGTCATTTTGTACACTGTTTTTAAGCAGTTCATAATTTAGATTTTCTGCATAAACCTGCCCTGTCCAGACTATTAAATTTTATTTGGCAAAAACATGAGACATGCCTAATTATGGTCATGATGACATCACATTATGACCATATATAGGCACATTATGACTATATATGGCATACAACAGTTTTTTTTTTTTTGTCAATGAAAATTTGATAGTCTGGAAAGAGCATTAGATTACTTGTATGGTTTGAAAGATTTCAAAATCTCAATGTACTTTTTAACACAGGTTAAAATGGACCCAGACCCAGTGAGTCGTAATTTATAAGAATTTACTTGGAATATTTTTATTTTCTCAGTTTCTTATATAACTTCAGTGATGTTGCAACTATTGTTCATTCATTTTAGTTTCCTGTTATTTTTTTTTACTCCATCTCAGTGAATTGTAGCATTGGATTTTAGTTTTGTTTTTGAAATTTTGTTTAAATTTATATACTTACAATCGCTTAATATTCACATTTGTCTGTTCTTTGTAAACCATGTTGAGAGGTATCACAGCTTGTCGGAGCACAATGTATTTTATTATCCTTTGTGTGTGAGGTCATTTTCCTGTGCACTGCCTAGCAAGGAAAGGCATGCTTTGCTAAAGGTTCATTGTAAACTATTATATATATATACGTAAGTGTTTGTGAATATAGGTTTTGAATTGCGTTAAGTAAGTGTTGTTGAATTTCATTGAATATTGAATTATATTGATTATTGAATTTACAATCAGTGGCAGCAGCAGAGATTCTCCAAGATGGTGTCCAAATTTCCCTGTATGGGTCTAAACTTGCTGAAATTGCTCCACATATCCCTCATTCCCGCCATGGTGTGACCAAATTAAAAAGATATGCACGTCAATATTCTTGGAAATGACACTCTTTTAGGCGAGTCCAATGGTTGAGCGGTAAGACAGGGGTGCCACTTACTACAGCCTTAACATTTGCGCTGGTTCCAGCCGTTCCTCGTCTAGGGTTGGGATGGTAGAACCAAGTCTTCTCAGATAAGGACTTAGAGGTATAGTGTGTACATCTGGCTGTGTGCACTTTAAAGAGCCTATTGCAGCTTGAATGCGGAAGAGTATGGGGTTATCCCGATATTACGGTTCATTTCAGCCCTTATCGTTGTGGAATGATGTGAATATGTAGTTCCTATAAAGTGGCTAGGTAGTCACAGACCATACTCATACGCGATTCAGCTCAGTGACGAGTGTAGGTCATTCTCCTTCCTTTAACTTCACCTGATATGATTTGTTTCTTCCAAGACCATGGTTCAGGGTGCCCCAACAGTTCTGTCTTGTGCCTTCTGGACTTCTGCTGGCGCTGCCACTGATTATAATTAAATAACTTATTGAATCTTAATCAGTTATTGAATGATAACCGAAAGGTCCACTGATTAATCTCAGATAAGAAAGTATAATACATACTCCAAGTATTGAAATACACGATGGCGTGTATTTCAATACTTGGAGTATGTATTATACTTTCTTATTGAATGATATTCATTGTATAGAGGATGCCACTGTTCCTTGGGTATAAACTATCCAAAGTGGAAGTCCACTCATAATTTTTGAGCAATTTTCATGGTAATTCTTCCAACCAGTTATTAAGTATAGCTAGGCCACCATACTCACTATTATTGTGGGCATTTTCTGGTTCTAAAATGTAAAACAACCCTAAAAATTCGGCCCAATTCTGTTCAAGAAAGGTGAGCTTATACCTGAAGAACCACAGTTTTATGTTCAGCTGGTATATACAAGCTTATTTGAATGAATTATTTTAATTTTTTTTTATTTATTTTTTTTTTTTTTATTATATTCCAATTTTGGTGAACCAAACCTAGGTATTTGAGATATCTAACTGACTTACTAGAGAGTCATACTTAGCATGAGTAATCAATTTTTTTTTTCAATTGATATACTGTAGTAATTTTTTTACTGAGTTAGGATTATTTATTTATCATATTTTGCTATGTAACATATTCAGCTCTGATAAAATTACTTTCAATGAAAGCTTAAAACTACAAAGAGAAGACTAACTATTTGTACACTATTATTATCAGTGTTTCTGGAAAAATGTAACAATTTTGTTTAAAAATGTATAGAAATGTTTCAAAAATAGACAAAATATATATAGTAGGACTAAAAAACAAATATAATAATTAATGTTTATCGAATAAAATGACAAGGAGTCGGGTTATTTTGTTCAGTTATCACATGGTACTAACATCACCATTTTCTTTTCCTTATAAAGTGGAATGAAATAACAAACAGTATTTTTATTTTTGAGATGTTTACAGTGTTTGGTTTTGGTGTTAAAAATTCAAGTTCTGAAATATTTATTAAAATTTTATGTAACAAGCTTTCAATGTTTAGGAGGTTTAGCTTTTTACATAGCTAGAGATGTTTAGCAAGCTTTTACAAATTCTTCTCTTGCTTATTATATTTTTATATCCACACTTTCTATAGTTTTGACACAGTAACACATAAATTCTATTGGTAAACAACAACTAAAATTAAAATTTGTTTTAAGGATTACATTCTTCTTTCTGTTAGGATGATGTCTCCCTCCAATTAAAGACCAATTCTGGGACTGGAGTTTCCATTGTCTTTGTAGCTTTGGTCTCCAATTACAATAATAAATATAAAAGACATTTGTGGCAAAGACAAGCCAAACCTCTCACTCTTCACAATTCGTGTTACAGAGATAATGGCCAAAACATGCTGGAATATCAACATTTTTGTAATCTATTTCATTGCACTAAACTAACCTTCAGATATCTATACATCATGCTATGCTGTTTATTTACCCCATTTTCAATGTTAAAACAACAATTTTTAACAATTTGGTGATAGTCTCTGCCTGAGAAATTCCCGAAATTATAAACTTTGAATTCTGATTTCTCAATTATTGTTCTTTAAACAGCTAAATGTTTTAAACTTAGATGCTTGTAACTTCATAAGGAAATGCCGAATTTAAATGATTCTTTTACCATTTTATAGCTCTCATTTTACTGTTTAACTGTGTATTAATTAACTAAAAATCAATTTTGCGACCAGTGACTGGTTTGGCTTGTCTTTGCCACATTTTTTAATTTGGGACCACAGGAAGTGGTCTTTAATTGGAGGGGTATTTAATTAGATGAAGACCTGTATTTAATAATTTGGATATATGTAATTTTCTGTGATGTATTTTGAATGTTCAGGCAATCACTGAGATGGATAAGCTACGCTATGTGAAGGGGTCATCGATTCAGTCTCCCAAGTACATAATTCATCTACATCCTGCGGTCATGCTGAGGAACCTCCTGCCTTTCCCAGTCTACTACACTCTTGCGGTAGGTATCCACTTTTCATATTGCTCCTCAATGGGTAATGGTCTTGTATTTCTTTAGTGTGTTTCGCAATATATTCCTTCTCAAGGCACTTCAAAGAAATGCATAAAAAAATTTGTCCAGAATCTAATCTATATTTTTTTTTAAATGAAAACACTAAGCTAAGCTTATGTAGCCCTTACAACTTGATAGACCTTTTCGCTCTGCCCCGCCCCGCCCTGCCCCGCCCCTTAGATATTGTTGCCATGGTCCTAACAAAACGATAGTGTAAAATGTACCTATACACCTGCTTTTGTGAGACATCACGTTTGCTTGTTGGACACGCGTCTTCCTGGCACTGATCTGATTGGTCAGTTGTTAAGTTTGATTGACACCCCGGAAAGGTCCATTCAACAGACCTCAAGCCCAACTTGGACAGCATCTTACGACACAGCCAGACGCGATTGTTACTTCGGATCTGTGTGAGTTAAACACAGACGCGATGGTTTGTGTCAGGAACAGTTGTAGAATATTAAACATGTTTAATATTTCTTACGACGGTTGAGACTGTCATACAATGCTGTTTGAGTTGGCCTTTAGGTAACTTGCCAGCAACTGCAAGCGATTTGAAGTGCATGAGCGTTCTGATTGGCAGTTGCTTCTCTTGTGAAAATAAGTGCTACTGGGAACAACTCAGTTGAGTCAAGTCACAAGGGCAACTCAATGAACACCCTTTCACAAATCTGCCAAAAGTATTAAAAGTATTTTTTTACTAGGCCTTTCAAGTCAACATTTAAATAATTTTCTTTTACATTTCTAAAGTACGAAACAAGTAAATTAGGAATTTTAGCGTGTGAAATAGTAAGTGTTATTAAATTATATATTTCTGGTATTTATGTTTAATTGAAATACATGTGTATTTACTAAAATTGAATTAAATTTGGTATGCTTTGTATCATTGTATAAAAATATATAAATATAACTGTTACAATATTTAAACTATTTTGTTTATCTAATGAAATAGGGTACGGATGGTAATATATGTATTGAGAAAGCCAACCAGTCTTCCTTACTACATGTTGTCATGGGCAAAACCATGATGCATATGAGGGTAAGACAATATCATCAATTTTTAAAGATTCATTCGTTCTTTCATAATGTTGTCATTTCTGTCGTTGAAAAATCCTAGGAATTACTTTTTCTCTGTTGACAAATCATATCACGTAAAACTTACATGTATCAGCTGACAGATGAACATTAGGATACAATATAATGTGTATCTAGATAATTGTAATGTAATATACAGTATTATTAAATATTAACAACTTCAGAATCTTCCAAAAATATTTCATTGTATACAATTATTATACAGTATATAACAAATAATAATATATTATTAAAGTTCTTCCAAATAATTATATAAAAACATCTATTTCATATCCTTCAAAATATTACTTACAGCAACATACAGTAGTGTATACCTGTTCTCTGTGATACATTATTTAGTCTGTACCATCTGTCTAAATTTGAGATAATAATCTTGATGGCATCTAAAACACATATAGCATCCATTTATCATGATCTGCTGCCAGACCTGTCCAGTCCCTGATGTCGAATCCCTAGTATTTTGTGCTCTTACTCTATATACAATGAATAATACATGTTTTTTACTCTTCAGATCGAAAATTACATGGGTATGGATTGGAATGGAGAAATCACATTGAGAGAAACATTGAAAACTCCACTTTTCCAGTGGGGCTTCCGAGGCAGTCGTCAGGGACACGATAACGTCTGGCTCGAGGTGGGCGTTTGGGCGGACTACAGCAGCGGGTATCTGGACATGGCAATCTACAGTCCTTATTGGCTGGTCAATAAAACTGAGCAAACACTTCGATATAGACTGCCATTGCTAATGAAGGTAAACACCTTTCTTATTTTGTTGATTCAATCCTTGTATTTTGCTCTGTGGATGTGCTTTTTAGATGTGAAACTATAAATATACAGTATTAAAGTTTACATCTGTGATTAATTAATTTATAACCACCATCATTGTTAAATTTATTGGAAATATTTATGAATGATTTTTTAGATCTTCTTCAGTTGCATTTAATGTTGTTAACAGTCTGCAAATCGTGGTAATCAATTTTTTTTATACTCAAGTTGATAAATTTTTGGATTATTGAAAAATTTAGATTGTTTGAGGGGATTTTTTATTTCCCCCTTTTTTGACCTTTATACTGGATAGCTTGCACAGTAGATATCTACTGGTCTCTTGCAGGGCCCAGTTATGCTCTGTAAACTCAGTTCATAATAAAACTTAGGGAGTGGAGTGGAGTCCTACTGTCATAGGATTTGAACCCAGGACCCTCGGATTGGAAGGCAAGCTGTTCATCTTCACTCATCGGACAATACATTTTGAACACTAAAATAATTATTTTCCTTTTTCCTCTTTCTCCTCCTAGTCAATCTTCAACCACATCCACTGTTTTCCTTCCATCCATTCCTGAGAAGGAAGTAAAAATAATAAGATTGATTTTTGAAAATTATATTTAATATTACTGTATATTCAGTAAATGGTGAAAAAAAATATTGTTTATGAATGTAGGGATCCCAAGATGAGATCATTGAGCATGCAGCTGATACCAAAGAACCAATTTTATTTTCTTACCCAAGCAAGAAATCCACACCTGGAAAAAATAAGGTAAACAAAATATTCTAGTACATATTAAAATTAGTCTGCAGTAGTTCAATTAGGTAGATGAAAATATACATCTTCACATGGCCCACAAGCACTGCAGGCCACGCAGGCACCGCTGGCAGCTGTATATCAATAATAATGTTCTTTTGTAGGCTAAGTACAGGACAAATGTGCACTGCCCGTGATTGGTACTATATTAAAAGGATAAACAAAATTCATTAACGATATTGTTAATTGATTTTGAACATGGCTTAGAATGACTCGTGCATGTATATTATGAGCGTACTGGTTTTTCCCCTCAGAATGTCTTATAAACACAATGAATGAATGAATGAATCCATCAATTGCTCATTTGATTTATAAACCATAATGGTGTTGCTCATGTTAAATTATATCAAATATTTTATAGTATTTAATATATTAGTATAGTACAGTATTATATTTAGTATATATGAGTTCTTAGCATGTTTTTATATTCCTGATCAGGTTGAAATGTGTGGCACAATTATTGTAGATTGGTGTCACTATTTATCTCTAATTGCTAATGAATATTATTTTCAATTTTACTGTTTACCATTATAACTGCTTGTACAGTATATCTGTTTTCTATAAACATTAATGAAAGTTTCCTTTTAGCATTTGGAAAGCAGTGTACTGCAATAAGTATTATATATGCATAGTGTTCCATTTAATGCGGATAATTACCAATTTTCTTTGTTTTTCTTGCCTGATTTTGTCTTTTCTACAGACAACGGTAAGATGGGAATTGTTTGCACAAATGCATGGAATTCTATAAATGATCTTTTGCATGTTTTTTTTTTTTTGCTGAAGATTGAATTATCTATATATACTTCATTCTTAACACACACAGTTCAAAAGCATTCTAGCTATGATATGGAAAATGATTATAATGCTACTATTACTGCTACTGCTGATGATGATTTTGATGTGATATTAATAATTATGATGCTGATAATGATGATTTTAAAATTTGAAGTTGATGAAAATGTGACAAATTATCACACTAACTTTATAAAGGTTGACAATATTTTTTTGGATTTTTAGTTAAAAGACTCCTGTTTATTAATTGTTTCATCACTTGCTGTGTTGTTGTTGTTATCCTCCACTATTACTCCTGTGTGAAATCCTTGATCCCAAATAGTGAAATTTGTTGAATGGATCTGTACCTGTCTCTTATACACATCTAGATGTGTATAAGAGACAGGTATTAAAGTTTACATCTGTGATTAATTAATTTATAACCACCATCTTTGTTAAATTTATTGGAAATATTTATGAATGATTTTTTAGATCTTCTTCAGTTGCATTTAATGTTGTTAACAGTCTGCAAATCGTGGTAATCAATTTTTTTTATACTCAAGTTGATAAATTTTTGGATTATTGAAAAATTTAGATTCCCGGTGTACTACCCAATCACTACCAGAAGGATCCTACTGGAAATAGGTCTGAGGACTTTCATGGATTATCTTTGGTGTTCACACCGAATAAATCCATTCATATTCTTGTTATAGAAGCAATAATGAGGATTTATACTGATTAAAATATTTCTAATGACATTATAGAAGCCATTATACAGGTGACATAACAATTATTAAGCTCTTAAATTAAAATTTGTAAAAAGAATAATAGAAAATTACACAATATAGTTTGGTATATAACATTACATTTGATTTCATGTTTTTTTTTTCTAGCTAATTATAATTTTTTAAAAATACATTAAATTGAATGATACTATATGATTTAACATTAATAAACGACTGTTTTATAACTAATTAACAGCATTAAATCTGCACATTTTTTAAATAATTGCTTCTAAATTTCATACTGATTTTAACACTTGAAAATCTACTACCAAAGATTACTATTTAATAATAATATTGCAAGAATAAATTTGTATTAAATAATGCATTACAGAATGCTTGCTATTGTGCAGTTATTTTGAAGGTGTTTCCCACAGTCACAAAGACCATGTTATGTTATCAAGAGTGTGTCTGTGTCTTTCCCTTGTATGTTTAATAGTGTGTTTATTGTAATCTTTATGTTTGAATTCCATGTCTCATTCAATCTCCAGATCAACAATTCTTTCACATCATATCTTTACCCCATCCATCCTTCCTTCCATCTGCTCCATCCATCCATCTCCATCCCAACCATTTCTTCTACCAAATCTAATCCTTCTACCATCCATTCCATCTCTCCTATAATAACTCTTTTATTCTTTCCATCTGGTCCACCCTTCAACCCATCCATGCTTCTACAATCTATTTCCTTAATTTCCCATCCATTTTTTCATTTCCCTCCATCGCCTTCTATTGCTTCCATCTCCCAAATCCTTCATTATCACCACTTCCTTGCATTTTACCCATTCTTTTAATCTTGCACATTCATTCCATCATCTAACCTTCTACCCCAGCCATTCCTTTCACACCATTTATTCTTTGAACCTCATCCGTTCCTTTCATACCCATTCATTCCTTCCTTCCATCCTCATCCTCATCCATTCCTCTCATCCTATTCTTTTCTTGCCGTCTGTATTGTTTAATTTTTTTTATTTGATATATTTAATGAGGGTGATACATCCAGCAGAAGCTGATCATTAGGGACCCTCAGCAAAACTATACTTCCACACCATCCATTTTTTCTCTGTCATTCCTTCTATTACTCTTCTTTCCTTCTACTCATCAATTCCTTCCACCCCATCCTAACCAACAAGAGAAAATGTATCAACTTTGATTGGGTTGTTGTAATTGTATGATATAAGAGGTGAAGTAAGAGACAATATTCAGTTTGTCAATTTATTGCATTTTGAAGGGACCATTCCAACGATTAGTGTTAGTATATTAGTAACCTACAGTATTCATGCAAACCTCATTCGCTATTAAATCTCTTATCAACTGAATTCTTGTAAAAGACATCATTCGTTAGTCTCATTCTTACTCTCAGGTTCATCATGTAATCTAATTTTGGTCATGTCGTCTGATTTTCCTTGGGATCTGACTTTAGTCACGTGATCTTATTTTCTTATTTGATCTGATTTGGTATAAGATCTAATATATCATGTGATCATTACTATTATAATATTTTATTTGCTATTTTGGGGGACATTTTGTTAATTCTACATACACTGATTCATTCACTCTCTTTTAAAAAAAATGATGTTGGTGAAGGACAAAATATTTTTTGAGAGATTGATTCACATTATTTGTTTATTTAGCTTTGAACATTCTCATAAGTAAGGTATATTCTTTGTATAAAAGGAGTAGGGTATCTTTCTAACTTCATTAGGGAAGGGGCATCCATTTAATATGCTGCTCTAACTATAAGTAGGCTATATATATTTAAACATATGAGTAGAGGGTCATTTATGTAGTAAGCTATTCTAACTACAGTATATTGGAAGGAGGTATCTAATGCACTAAGCTGTTTTCACACAGATGCTTGCAATGTATGGTCTATGCACAGAAAATAAATTCATATACAGTACTAATATCATGTGCATTTGGCTAGGCAGGGTAAACCATGGACTAACCAAAGCAAGTTGTATAAAATAATGAAATAACTTCATTCAGCTACTGGTGAGAAACATCCATTGTTATGTTTTGGCTGAAAATGAATTAAATTTTGATATTATAAGTTTACCCTATATATTCGAATATATGCCCTGGGGTGCTTGTTGTTGAGAAGGCTTTTTGAGGGGCAACTTATTCGAGGGAGGCATTTATCGAACAAAGGGGTATATTTTTTTGGTGTAAAATGGGGTGTTAATAACAACAAAATGTGTTATTGTGTGATCGTAGAGACTAATAGATCGCAACCAGGTTAGAGTAATACAATTCAACTGCAGTAGAACATTAATAGAATGTATTGAGAAAAGTGTTGCTTTCAATAGTTTTGCTTAAAGTCATTTGGGATGGGGGGTTGCATTTATTCCAAATGAAGCTCTAGAGAAGGGTGTTTATTTGGGGAGATGTTTATTCAAAGCAGGGCATATATTCAAATATATACGGTATGTATATTAGCTGAAGCCCGAGCTTTAGTATAATTACTATTTTGTAAAACCTAATATGCAAACTCGGCGTTCTCAAACAAAGATCTAACATCTTATTATCTTAAGAAAGAATTACTTTGTGGTTTACTTTAATTCCTTCATTTATTTAATTCATATTATTTGTAATGAAATTTTATAGAATTTCTTAATGTATTTAGTCCACTTTGGAAGTTCTTGGGGTTGAATTCTGATGTGAATAATACAATCTGCAGCCCTGTTTAGACGTATCAAATTTTATTTGACAAAAACATATGATGAGCCTAAATATGGTCATGATGACATCACATGACTATAATGTAGACTATATATGGTCATACAACATTTTTTTCTGGGAAAGGACATTTGAGTATTGGAGTAAAGTGATACCCAAACTGATAATGTAGAATTATGGGCATGCACCATTTTTTGTCAAAGAAAATGTAATAATTTGCTTAAGTTTTCAAATGTTTTGTTACATCTTTTGTATTATTCTGGCAGGTTACTCATGAAAAAAACTAATTTCAGTACACCTGGGGTATTAATTTTATATATTATTAGTATATATAAGATAGTATAATACATACATTCCTGATGATGACATAATTAATGTCGAAATATTGAATCCCGACACGATGGTGTGCATTTCGATACTTGGAGTATGTATTATACTATCTTATCTGAGATTAATTAGTGGTTATTATTATTATTATTAATTGCATTTCATTCTATTAAATTTGACAGCTTTTAAATATAACTTATTTTTGAAAATTTTATCCATTTTTATTCAATACATATATATATATGTTATATAATATATTTATTTTATTTGGAGAATATTTATGAATATATATTTTCAGGGTTAAAGAGAAGGGCCAGACATGCATGCAAACTTCAATTTAATGGGTCAATTTAGTTTAAACCAATCGTGGAATTCGTTATTTAGAAGGGGTTGTTAAAACTAACAACACTGTTACTAACTCTTATTATTATGGTATACTTAGCCCAGAACTAGAGTTTCATACCATAGTAATAAATAAAATTCTACTACTAGCCATTTATCATGGATACTAAGTGCTTACTAGATATAAAACAAGGTCTTTTGTAATTTAAAGCTGAAGTACTAGCTCTAAGCAGCAATTCACATTCTTAAACTACTCTATTATAGTCCCTATTGTGTATGGCTACGTCCTATTCAAAATACTCTAGATAACTAGGCTGCAGCGAAAGAGCAATTGTGGCTCCAAAGATTTGCTGACTGGGGTCTGATCAATTTGGGGCCAACTAGGGCCTTAGTTAGGATCCCGGAATAAAATTCTTAGTAGGGTTCACTGGGAGAGTGTTTTTGGCTTAGTATGACCCTAATAATGATAACAGTTTACATCAAGTGAACTAGCCCCACCCCAATGCTGACTCTCAGTTTCTTGCCCTGTGAAAACTTGATCAGATGGAGAGATATTCTATCATTGATTCAGATAGCTACAAACACCCCCCACATAAGTAATGAGCACATTGCTATCATGTGTTAATGACTGTTTTACAGATCACTATGCAGATATGCGACTCTGATTGGTCAGATAAGTTTTCATTGGATACGGTTGGTAGTTCAGGCTTCATCACATGTTCTGGAAAAGGACAAAACTACAATGTAAGTTTTTGAATTACTTTGACTTAACTTTAATGTAAAATGTAATATATAAAAGTGTAACAAATTCCCCTTCCCCCAAATTTTGGGGTTTTTTGTTTTAACCCTCGAGCATGGAGTGTGTCAACTACTGGCCTTTTTCAGCGAGAAAACAAATTTTCATTGTCAGGGCATGTTTCCAAGTAGGTAGTGGATGAACAACTATTTTTACTACTTTTAAAACCCTATCATTGATGATTAGTGGTGTATCTGCAGTTGGCTGTGGGATGCACCTTCCCAGAAAAGCCTGCATTTCTAAAGGGTCCCCTATCAGTTATTTTCTTATAAATATTATGTTCAAGTAGTTTAAAACACTTAAGTTTGTCTGCAAAGGCCCCCTCTTAACCTTTCTGCTCCCTATCAGCCCCCTCCCCATATCAATACGCTTAGATACATCAGTTGATATATCATGTTGGCATATGTGACAATACCTATTATTTCCCATATATGGTTGTGACATCGTTATGTCCATATATGGACAAATCACAGATATTTGTCTAGCGTTGATCCTGGTAAGAGATGTGTGTTGTGTTGAAAATGTATCATGTGACCTCATCATTTTCAATATTTTTGGAATTTCAGATTGGTGTGAAGAATCAGTTCAGTAACTTTGGATTGACTAAGATCATTGTGTTCACACCTGAGTATTTGCTTGTCAATCACTCTGAACATGACGTCATCTGTAAGGAGCTCAGCGGCCCAGATTTGCTACAGTATGATGTTGCTAGTGGCCAGGTATGCTTATTATATTACTGTATCTTATGCTCTCTTCCTATTAACCATCATGTCATCCTATTTTTATTCAACAAGATACAAGATAATATGTGCCCCACCCTCTCCTCCCCACCTCAAACTTGTGATATTCCATTCTTCATGTTTGCATTTGGGATAGTACTGATACCATGCCATGTATCATTTTGAATTGAATTGGAAACAAATAAAATCACACTTTGTTACAGTAACGTAACATACTAGTTTCAATGCACTGCGAATAACAGACATTTTTATAGATACAGCTTGTTTCCTCAAGATGTCTTTAGACATTATCTCTTTCATGCAAGATGATTTCTTTAAATGCAGTTGGTATTGTTACACCAATCTGAAAACAATTCTTATTTCTGATTGGATGTTGCTTTCCTATCCATACATATAGAACATTGAATCAGAATTGGTGTAAGAATGGTGTAACAATAGCCAAAAGTATTTGGAGATCCTGTGTTGTCATTTTATGTGCTGAGGATGAGGGCATACTGAATCATTGATTACTAATATAAAAAAATGTAACCTTTAATTAATTTTTCTCTTTTGCAGTGTATTCCATTTTGGCCAGTTGACCATTCAAACCATCGGAAACTTGTTGTGAAATTGAAGGGACACAAGCACTTCTCGGAACCATTCCTGTTCACAGACCCTCACACTACTGTGTTGAAGATGGATCAGGAGGTAAACCCACTGTTATTTTACTTTTATTTTGAAGTTTTTATTTCTTGTACATCCATAAACCAATTACAGGTTGTGATGTTCTATAAACTCAGAAAGCAGAATCACAGAGACTTAAAATTTAAAATTGGCGCTGGGTTAAGATCTTCAGTGCTTATGGTTTGGGTATCTAGAACCAAGTCTTCTTGGCTAAGAACTCAAAGCCAGAGGTTCAGTGTACACATCTGGCTTGTTTGGTCTGTTAAAATACCTAGTGCATCTTTCGATAGTATGGGTTACCACCGATGCTGCAGTTCGCTTCAACCCCTATTGTTGTTGAAGGATATTACCACTGAGCCTTTCAATGGCAGCAATGAATACTCACTATACCTTATGCAATTTATCATGATGACACTGCAAGTTATTGGTTAATTGGTTATCTTGGCTGAATCTTTATACTTTATACAAAGGTTATCTCAACCAGCCAGATATGTGATGGAACTGATTTTTCTAAGATGACATTTATATCTCAATGTTTTTAATTTCTACTATACTTCAACTCATGCAATCTATTGGTTTTCTTTCATAGGTCCCTAGGCCAGCAATATAGTAATGTGTATTCTTTATTCTCTCTATTCTTTATTGCAATTAGTTTACCTTTATACAACATAGTTCAAAGGGTCAGCAACTTAGTAACATACTGTAATAGTAACAAGTAATGTTAACCTTTTCCCTCACCTCACCCCTCCCCCACCCCTCCCAATTCAGACATCCCTAAAAAATAGAATTTTTCACAAAAGAGACAACCTTTTAAAGCCAAACTTTTTGTAGTGGCTGCTTATTCTCACCTATTCAGTTGTATATTTTTTCATGTTTTTGTGGAAATTTAGGTTATGTGATAATTTTAGCAAAGTACTTTTGGAAATTCATGCTTTATTTTGCTTTTAAATGTTGCAGTAGTATTCTTGGTTGTTCTGTAGGAATTTAATTATACCTTCAGTTTTCTTATGTTATTTTCTACTATCATAATGATATCCCTTTAAAACTGTATTTAAGAATGGTTTATAAGTAAATTAATTATTTTTATTACTATTACTATTGCTATTAATCCTACAAAAAGACAGGTGATCTGTCTTTCTTTAAAGCTGCTTTTGCCTTTATGTCTCCTCTTTTATTGTAAGCATTTTACAGACGTGTCTGTTTCTTGTTCCTTATTGTCTCTCATTTTGCTTTTCTACTTTATTTGGAATTTGTATTTTCTATTCATTGTATTTATTTTTATATTATTATTATGCTATTTATGAATAATTTTATTGTTGTATATAGGTCGGTGGAATAACAGCAGAGACGCAGCTGACTGAGACTGCTAGGGTAGTAGCTATACATGGCTTTAAGCAGGGTAATTTCACAGTTAAGCTAGTCAACACAACCGAATATGAAGTACAATACAACCAACAGTAAGTTCAAAATACATTGTTGTCAAGCTTATTATATTTTAATCTGTATACAGAGATATATTTTAATACTAAATAATCCTTCCAAATAATATATAATCATGAATTATTTTATAGGAATATATATTTTTAATTATGTTGAAATATATTTTATATATTATTTTTACAAACATTGTATTAGTAGCAAGCTTAAACAATACAAGATCGATTTATACAGATATTACATACTAATCCTATATATCTGGGAGGAGTTTATGAAAGCCCTGTAAATCCAAGTAAAAACATGAACCATGCATTAACAAGGTTTTTGTTAGGCAACAAAAAATATCAACACTCTCAAATTAACACCGTTATCATCATCATTTTTTTTTTTTTAATTAACATATGCTAATAAATGTATTTTTGTTGTTGTTGTTGTTTACAGAGGAGTGGCTGATGTATCACCTCTAGGCCCAGGTGAATGTATTCTGTACACCTGGCAGGTACCAACTAGAGACAGACAACTGGTGTTAAAGATTGCTGATAAAACAATCAAAAATGACCTTGTCAAGGTAGGCCTAGGCAACAGTGCCCACATAGCTTTCATCAATATTTGTGTAGTGGTACTCCTATGTCTGGCAAATGACCATCTAATACTGTAATTGTGTTAAAGTTAGGGAATTTTCAGCAGACAATGTAAACATTAACCTAAATCTTATTTCCCAACATGCATCTTGATAGCTCTGCCCAGTTGAGAAATTTGCAAATTTACTTGCATTATTTATTTTTAAAAAGTTTCTTACGTTCATCAAGAAAATGGATAATAGGTTTACGTTAGTGTTAAAATGTTGTCCGCCAGAAATTCCTACAATATGATTTGCAGTTCTCAGATTATATCAGGAGCTCTGTAGGTCACATGGCCATATTTTCATGATGATTCAATTGATGTAGAATTACCGTGGTTCCTGTGGTAAAGCCCACCACACTTGACCACAAAATTGGGTCGATTTTTTTTGTTTTTTTGTGGGGGCTTATATCCGAGGAATCTCTCTCAATCAAAATGCAGTTTTTTCTGCACTGCAGGCCTAATTCAAAGCCAATATTTGATTTTTAATATTTAGAGTTTGTGAAAGTCAGCTGAGCTACTCATTCATATCATACACTGGGCTTTGCCAAAGGAAAGGCTGATACTTAAAATTGGGTGTAAAGTAGGGGGTGGTCTTATACCCGAGGAACAGTGGCGGCTCTAGGATATATTTTCTGGGGGGGGGGGCTAAGTTGTCCGACAGGGGAGACTTGAGCTCGTAGGCTCGAGCTGGGAGAAGGGGTTGAGAGAGGGTTCCCCCTCCCAAATGAGATTTTTTTTAAAGAATATCAACCTCTAGATGGCCGAAAATGGCACTCTCAGACTGTGACAGACATGTGTTGGCTTGGTGTGGGCCTATTTTGATATGTTTTATGGTCTGACTGCCCAACGAGCTCTGTCCGGCGGGGGGGGGGGTTGACCTGTCCGGTGGATGAGCATAAGCCCCACCCCGCTGGCGCCGCCACTGCCGAGGAACTATGGAACATTAAACTTTCTGAAAACATAGAAAACTGCTTTGAACTTATAATTTATGTGTCTTGCAATTGGTTATAATATTAGGATGGTATCGGAGAGATTATTCGACCGAAGGAGCGAATTTATTGGGTGTCGTTCCTTGATGGCAGGCAACGCATACTTCTGTTTACTAAGGATCTTGTCATTGCTACAAAAGCTCAACAGGTAAAAAAAAAATTAACTTTGTTGCTCATCTTCTCAATAACTTATTCCTCCCATTCTGTACTCACTCATCCTCACAAACCTATTCACTCTCTTTCTCTTCTCTGTTTGGTCTCCTGCACTCATCGCATCCTCGCTCATTTCTGAACTCATTCCCTTCCTCTTTACATAGCATCTGATTATTTGATTTTTTTTAGGCTGGTGAGCTGGAACAAGTTAATATGGAATTGAATCTCAGCTTGGAGGGAGTAGGACTTTCAATGGTGAACAATTACACTCGCACTGAAGTGGCTTACGTTGGACTGACAAGGTTGTGTATCAATTTTTCTTACATAGTAGAACCGCTATCAAGGGGTAATCTTCAGGACCAAAAAAAGTGTCACCTTAATAGGGGTGTCCCCTGAATAGGCATTGGCCGTAGTGTTAAATGATACTTTCCCTCATTTTGTGGCTGAAAATAATGTCCCTTTTTTGGGTGTCCCAAATGAGGGGTTCTACTGCAGTAGAGGAAAGGATGGTTAAATTATATCATTCTAGACTATTATTTGATTATGTTATTCATAAACTGTAATTATTGTAACCAAAATTCACAGTGCTAATATGTTGGAATGAAAGTGTTAATACTGACTGTATTCGTAATGTAATGGTTAAATTTATAGTATTTCAAATGGCTCTACTTACATGGAAATATGTTGTGTCAATTTGGTTTTGGAAAAAAAATTTTACTAGCCGTTATTAATCCCTATTTAATCAATAATTAATCAATCATTCCATCAGCCAATCAGTCAATTTTTCAATCAATCATTCAATCAATCAATCAATCAGCAAACCAAGTCAACAATCAGTCAATTAGTCAATCAGTCAAATAATTAATCATACAATCATCCATTTAATCAATATGTCCATCAGTCAATCAATTAATAAAATTATTTTTATTTATTATAATGCTCAACCATTAGCTCTGGAATCATCTGGCAAGCTAAGCAGAGGCGTCGTTTCCGAGATATGCCCGGTGGCCAAGTAGCGCTTCTAGAGACTGAATATCAGAAATACGAACTTGAGCAGCAACAAGATAAAAATGCCCCACCTGCAGTGTATAAGGCCGGTAACATGGAGGTAATAATATTGTTTTTTGAAGATACAAGTTTAATATAAGATAAGTACATTCTCAACTTCAGTTGGTGAATTTTTCTCCATATTAAATATATAAAAATTCTGAGACAAATATGTTATTAACAGGAAAATATAAACAGTAGCATTGAAACATCATTAACATAAAGATGCCCAACACTGTTTGAAAAAATTGTCACTAATTTGATTCTTTGTTTACATTGCCAATTTTAAGAAACATTTATATCATGAAAGCTTTTTATTATTTGTAGATCGACTTTGAAAACTTGGTGATGTACAACCCAAAGCGACACCACATCAAACGAACCCACCATCCAGGGGTGTGGGCTCAAGTGAAGGTCTCCCCTCATCAGTTACAATTTCATCTCAAAACCCACCGCATTCAGATGGACAACCAGACCAAGACGCCGATTTTCCCAACGGTACTCGCCCCTGTTGCACCGCCAAAAAGTGTAGCAACTGAAAACGGTTAGTATCTGCTTGTTCTTAAGTTTTATCCTTTACCTGTGATTTTCGACATTTGAAGAAGAATCAATATATTTTGAAATATTTATTTATCATTTCCAATCAAGTCACAAAATAGATATATATAGGTATAATTGAAATCTTTTATAAGTTTGGCACTTATTTATTATAGTATTCATAATATTTATTTTGTTTACAGCACTGAAACCAATGATTGAAGTGAGTTTGTTGATGGGGTATGCTGAGCATAGCAATGTCCAGCAGATCAAACTCTTCCAAGTCTTGATTCAGGAGATGCATGTGAAGTTGGATCAGGGCTTCCTTAGTAATTTTATAAACTACCTGCAACCTGAGACAGAAATCGAAGGAAAGGAAGTAAGATTGCTAAACTATTGAAATAAAACATTATTTTATGATAGTCAAGTACAAGGTGTGGAAATTCAAGAATGCACAGTGAAGTATCTAAAAGTCTTGATGAGATTAACTTTATTTAATATGCCAAAAATCTTCTTAAGACTTGGTTATTTTGAACGACGCTTCAAGTTCTACAGCCAACCACAGCTTACGTTGGAGTTAACAAAGCACTATTCAAATCAAGCCGTCAAGCAGTTGTATGTGTTGGTACTAGGCCTAGATGTGATCGGCAATCCGTTTGGCTTTGTACAGGGCATGGGTGCTGGAATCAAGGACTTGTTCTATGAACCATATCAGGTAGAAATGTGTGGCAATTATCTTAGAATTATAATATTTATCAAAGTAGTGGATTTGGTGTGGTTTCTTTGGTGCGGAACACAACAAGGATGGCCCACAAAGTCTAAAGTCTTATTTTTAGCAGGGTCCTTCTTATGGGTGCAATATACTGCCAGGAGACCATCCCCTACTCTTTTCCTAAAAGTGTACTGCATTCTGTAACACATACATGGGCCATAATGCATATGGGACCAATGTGTTAAACGTCTCAAAAGACGTTGGCTATTGGAACTTACATTTCAGCCAACCAACTGATACACAAAAAGAATTATTCTTTATAAATTACTCACCTACCGTAAAACCTTGAAGCCCAGTGGGCTTAATCTCGAGATGAAGCCCATCACGAATTGAAGCCACCTCTCAAGTTTGCAAAATTAACCTCGAAAAAAGGCCCATGGGCTTCTTTTCAAGATAGCATAGGCTTCTTCTCGAGATGGTACAGTACATACACTGTACATGAATTTTAGAAGACAAAATAAATTAAATATAAGCTTGGTTTATAAAGTAGTTTAGGTGATTTAATGCCAGTTAAATATACTCCATGATACAGATTGATGATACAGTGGTCTTATTAATTGTTTTAAAGTACAAATTCACTTAATTTACAGCACTCATTTTGAAAAGAAGCCCCCCTCTTTGCTTTGCAAAAGTAGCCTCGAAAAGAAGCCCATCTCGTAAATAAGCCCGTCTCAAGAAAATGTCATCAAATGTTTGATAAAAAAAGAAGCCCAGGGCTTCAATTTGAGGTATTACGGTAGGCCCTCACATGCTCATAGAATATATTTAACACATATTTTAAGAACAGCTAAACACACCAAACCACTGCAACATAGTTGATGGTTTCATTACATTAGAATGGTTTATTTCGCTAGGGTGCTGTTCAAGGCCCTGAAGAGTTTGCTGAAGGTGTGGCCCTGGGCATGAGGAGCCTGTTTGGTCATGCTGTTGGTAAGTGTATTATTTTTATTTTTTTCTCGAGCTTCTTCAGCTCATGTCAAACACTGATATTTGTATCTCAAATTCTGAATGTCATCATGAGTTTTATTGGAGTTGCTTTAGTAAAAGAAAATGTCTATTTTGTGAATCCATACTTGAAAAATCAACTCGGCCTAATATATTGCCATTTCTTTATGAAGTAGGAACACCCCTAAAAAATTGATAAAACAGTCACTCCCAATACACTGTTCAGCAGGCAATACGCATAAGAATGAGTTAGAGAGCCAAAGTGAATTTTTGATTTGCACTGCTTATATACCACTTTATTCTCAGTTTTAATATTACTATTACAAATTATTGGTGTCGGGGCGTAAAAAATACAGGTGTTTTCTAGCCAGAGATGGTGGCGGGCCGCACACATTGGACTTTTAATTAATTTTTTCGGGCCTTAATAAAATCAATGATGGTCTGCGGGCCACACTCTGCCCACCGTGCTGTTCAGTATTCATGAATTGTTCCAAATTCTTCAACATGTTCTTCTTTAAACTTGTCAACTCTTATTTAGGTGGAGCTGCTGGGGCAGTATCCCGTATCACTGGTACGCTAGGTAAGGGGCTAGCAGCCCTGACCATGGATGATGACTATAAGAGGAAAAGACAACAAGCTATAAATAGGCAGCCTAAAACCCTCCAAGAAGGATTTGCCAGAGGTGGCAAAGGACTTGTTATGGTAAGTATTTGTTTGAATTACACAATGATTGTATTTTAATTAATATTTTTGTCTTCGTGACCATTGTGATTGTGTGCTTGATGACTAGGTTTATTAATGGTAATATCTATGATTGAGATAATTACCTGGCTGATCAAATATATGTTTCTCTTTTGCAACCCCGCCCCCCCCCAAAAAACGAATAAAAACGTCCCTTCCTTGCACCGTATATAATGGATATGCATTTAGATAAAGCCAGTAAATGTGTGTTATTCTGCGAAAAAAAATGCATGCTAGCCCAGCATGCAATCACAAGTTTAATACACATACTATAATTGTTAGAGATTATATTTTTTACTTCTGCTAATGTGTGGTAAAGATAAAAAATTTTCTTTTTATTTACTTTACCAGGGATTTGTGGAAGGCGTCAGTGGTGTTGTCACAAAGCCAGTGCAAGGTAAAGTTTAAAAACTCATTCAATCATCTTACTAATTGCAGAGTGTATTTAAGAGTATAACTAGTATTGGTGGTACAGTACTTTAATATATTGACTTTATAAATTTTATAATTCGTTTTGGTCTTCAGGTGTCAAGAAGGAAGGGGCCAAGGGTTTCTTCAAAGGCATGGGTAAAGGTCTGGCGGGAATAGTAGCCAAACCCACCGGCGGTGTAATTGATTTTGCCAGTAGTACATTTGAAGGAATTCGCAGGTGAGATCAACAAATATATATTTTGTTTCTTAAGCTATTGTGTTTTGTATTACTATTAGTGTTGTATACTGTATAGTGTATACATGCAGCTGTAGATTAGGAGGGAATGTTGGGTGCCGTTTCGTCCAGCTCCATTGAACTTCTTCAGACACCTGACCCATTGGGTTGGTCAAATGTCAGGTGGGTTGGGAAATGATTAATATTTATATTATTGTTATCATCACAGTCAACACCATCATCACCAACATAATCACCACCATCATCATCATCATCACCATCATCTTCAACGTTGAATGCCCGAAGGACTAATAGAGCAATCACACCATATAGCCATGCTAATCACCACATGTGCATCCTCATTCCCTTTTTACAACTGCTGATATAGGTATTTTGTTGAATGAGAGATGCAAACAATTTAAAAAATTTCAATTTTATTATGTGAATATTCACAGAGCAACAGAGGTTTCTACGGAGGTGAAGAAGTTACGTCCCGCTCGTTTCCTACACCCTGATCATGTGGTGCGGCCGTATGTATTATATGAGGCCACGGGTAATTGTTTACTGCAAGAGATAGACAAGGGCAAGTTTGCTTTGACTGATGACTATGTTGATCATCTGCAGGTGATGAAAGATTGCATTATGCTCCTTACTGACAGGTAAGACCCTTGTATGGTAATCATACTCCCTTATAAGCCAAACTTGCTCCCTTATGTGGCAATCATACTTCCTTATATGGCAATCATACTTCCATATATGGCAATCATGCTATGTTTTTGAGGTTTTATTTTTCACTGATGACTGAATACAGAGGGAACTGTTACAAAATGCACTTATCCACCAACCTAAATAATATGCATTTGTTATAACAATGTAACTAAAAGTGTAACTTAGTTTTTTGCAGATGTTAACATTTTGCCAGATGATACATAGTTTATGAAAATAATACAGACAAAATATTAAAAGATATATGTGTTTAACTGAAAATTTAATTATTGATTTCCTCCAAATGTTAACTTGCGACTATGTCTAGGTTTCTGATCACATTTTACCATCATGCTTCTCTTTTTTTGATAAGTAATTTTTTTTCAATTTATTTCAGGAGAATTATATACATTGTTAAACAGGATGTTCTTGGAGGCTGGAACGTTGCATGGCATCACACATGGAAGGAATTGAAGGAGCCACCGGTACTTATGGAAAAAGGAATCCAGGTTATACCAAAGGTAAATACACCATACAAGACCGCTTTCTGTGCTCGTGTAGAAGCTTGTGGTATAATGTGTAAGGCGTCGGGCTTTTAATCGGAAGGTCAGGGGCCCCGACACCAGTGCTTGTCACATTGCTGGTGTCCTTGGGCCTCACACCACCCAGGAGTAAAAATGGGTACCTGGTAGGAGGTGAATGATTCGGAATGATATTGGTAGTGCTAATTACGCACCTAACTAGGAATACTCCCTGTGAGTGGAGGTGGTTGCATGCTGTGTATGATTGATTAATCCAATGACGAGGGAAATATGCGCTTTAAGCAGTTCTTCCATAATGTGCACTATATAAATTTTATAAAATAAATAAATTTTAGTGTCCTTTTAATGTCTGTGTGCAGAATGCCTTTATAAATCTATAATTATTGGCAAAAATAATCTTTTGGTACTTAGTGGAATTTAAAATGTTTTGGTTTAAATGTTAGGAACAAGAACAGCCTGTGAAACGAGGACCTCTGGGACGCCCTCTAAAAATTGCAAACTTGATGAAAGGCAAAGGACCACAAGGCAAGATTGTGCTTATAAATAACAGAGATGTTGGACGGGTAAGTCTTCTAAATGAATTAAAATTGTCTTACAATTTCAACTAAAAATAAAATTAACTGCACACAGGAGCATCCCTCTTATGCCAAATGTCAAAAACAATCTGGTGGAACAGGTTTCCCTAGTTTATAGAGCTTTGTATACCTATGATACTATAGTACACCTTGATAACATCAAGCTTATAAACCTGCATTATCTATGGAATCAACAAGAAGTTTTTAAATCAATTGTGCAGGATGGTACAGCTATCATAAAATGTAGTGTGTACCATGGATACCATTGGTTTTCAAGCTTGGGTGTTGATTTGATACCTGTACCAATGGTAACCGTTGGTTTAAAATAGTAGTACCATTGGTATAATACCATGGATACCATTGTAAACCAATGGTACTGTTAAGTACTTATGATACCGATGGTACCATTGTAAACCAATGGTAATCATGGTAAATCATTCATAGAAATACTAATTGACAATTTTTATTTCTAATTTGTTATATTTTTCATCATGAAACATATTTTTTAACATTTTTTAATTCATTTCTTATATACACTACAATATTTTACGTCTCTGTCTGGGCTCATTTCATATTATTTTACAATTTTTACTAATTTTAAGGACGGGTTTTACTTTATTATCCTATTGTATTTCATTTTATTTAACATTTATTACTTGCATTTCTGTGCAATTTATGTAAGGTTTTGCCTTGTCTTTTTTTTTTGTCTATTTTTTATAACTATTTTAATGTATTTGAATAAACAAAATTTAATTACTAATGGACTCATAACTATACAACCTTTGTAAGGTTCTAATGAGCTCCAATTTCATCAAGTATTATTAACATGTATTTTATCTATTATTTTTGTTTTCTTTATGATGAAATGAATAAAGATTGAATTGAACTTTCATAAAGTGGAATACATCTTACAAAAGAAAAAAAAAGACATGAGTATACTTACATAAAAATGAACACAAATCACAATTTAATGCATATCTATGTATTTTTTGTTTTGTTTTCAGCGATTTGCTTCCAAGATGCAAGAAACGTATGCAAAGGCCCTGAAAATTATCCAGTGAATAGAGGCATCAAAATTTGTATAAAACACCTGAAAACCTGAATTACAAGGTTTTTTTTATGTGTCATGGAAGCGGAGAGGTTATTACCAAGATGGCAATGCCAGCTCCATGCTATATAAACATTGAGAGTTTATCTGATCTAATTATTTTGGGGACTTCTTTCAGCTACAATTTTATTTTGACAAATTAGTTTGTATCACATTGTAAATGAAATACTGCAATTAGCAGCTTCAGTAAAGAAGTGATGATCAATATTTTTCCTAAGAAAAACTTGAATTAGTTTAACAAATTGTTACTAGAATATTTCATTTGTACCATGCTTAGACAACCAACATATTTGGTGCTTTTTTGTATATTTTATTAATGATATAATTATAATTTTTTTTGATTTATGATGTTTAAATTTGTTTATTAATTTGAAATATATTGCGAGAGCAGTACTAGTGTATACAAAACTTTCCCAAAAAGCCAAATATATCAAGAAAATGATTTATTATTATTGTTATTTTAATTATAATTTTATAGTTAATAGTATTATCATTATTGATAGTAGGATATTTGTTGCTCTATGTGCACGTGTAGTCAGGTATCTAATTTCTTGTTAAACATTTTGTATGACTACAACATAAAATATTTTCTTGTTTTTTTTTAACAAATACAAAAAACAACCACCATTACTATTGATCAGGATTTAAAGTATATTGAAAATTATTACATCAACTGTGAATGGAGCATGGCAATGCTAAATAATTAATATTAGTTAATTGATAATTTCTCTGGTAGTTAATAATACATATGATTGTGTAATTGAAATATAAATAATGCATTTTCTATAGTTCTCTATCATGAAGATAAGAAGAAAAGACTTCATTAAATATGATAATTTAATAATTAGGCCAAAAGAAAAATGTTTGTTTGCCCTCCTCCACCTGCTCCTAACTCACTGAAAAAATAGGGCAGATAAACAAAAAAACTTTAAAAAAAATGTGAGTGAATTTATCTTTTTTTTGCCAGATGCCCTACGAATTAGTCTAAAGTTGTTGTCTGATGTAAAATATTGCCATTCTAGGCGTTTGTGGGTTATTTTTATTCCATCTGATTAGTATTCAAAAATAATTAATAAATTTAAAAAAACTCCACCCCCATTTATCATTTTTTAACAAAGAAGGGCAAACAAACAATTTATTTTATTTGGCCTTACGTTAAGCGTGTTGCTAATTTCACATGTTAGTCTACCATGCATTTCACAATAAAACATGCTATCTTGAACCTTAACAAACGTGTAGACTGCTTTTTTGAGATGTTTTATTATTAATGCTATAAATTTTTATATTTACGTTTTTTAACTGTTACAATCAGGTTTATCCCCTGGACCCTCGCAATATGTGAGGAACACCCCAAAACCTATGGTAAAGAGATAAAGTTTTTCCTTTCTTTACCAAAGGTTCTGCTTCCATTCCAATTTTAGGCCCTTGATTGCCACATGCGACACTCCAGCAAACAAGTATTGGATCTGCCACTGACGGTGGGTTATGTCACTCAATATATTCTTAAAAAATGCAGTTTAAATTCCTAGTGATGACTAATCATTATCTCTAAAACAATAGAAAATTAAAAAAAATTTTTTTATAGAATAGCAGAATAATTACTGTGGCATTATTACTCAAAGAATACAAACTATGCTTATTTAGATTTTATGTGTTTTAAATATGTTAATTTGTATTTTCTAATTCGAATAGTGGTTTTAAAACATGCTCTTGCATAAGCCTACTAAATAAAGGACTTACTTTTTTGTTTTATGATTTTTTGTTCATTTCATTTACTGCAAATTAGGAATATTTTATTTGTAGATGTTTCTAACACAAGGGATTTATTTATTTTATTATTTCGTGACTGTTGACACAAGTAAGGGTATAGTGTCCTTGAAAGGGGTAATTAAAATTGTGTATCATACGATAGATTATGAATTATGATGGTAATTTAGGCTATTGAAAGTGTGGTGTATGTAAGTATATGCATTCTATAGAATATGATTTTTACGGATTTGACAATAGAAAATACAGTACAACCCCTCCTTTGGGACACTCCTATTAAGGGGAAGAATTTTTCTGCCATGAATTGAAGAAAAGCATCCAGTATCGTTTAACCGGATTCTATTGTACCGTAGAACCCCTTTGCGACACCTTTGACGATCTTCCTGAATGTGGGTTGGCCATGGGGTGTTAAAAGAAACACTTTTCTTCATTCGTGTCTGAAAAGTGAACCCCTTCGTAATAGCCTGTCTTTCTTTAAATGATCTACTGCATTTGTTTACATTATCGATTAATTCAAATACAGCACGCGAAGGACAGAAAGAAACATATTTGGCCAATCAGTGATAATAATTGACCAGTGTTGGTTGTTAATCGGGACGAAATGACAACTGAATAAAAGATTGCTTCTCGTAATTCGGATCCCAGGATTGAAACGCTATCAAACTAGGTGACATTTTAGCTCTTCTGATTACAATAAAATGGCAATAGAAGCGATAATATAGATAAATAATTCTACCTAGAGAAAACATATGTTTTCGGCCAAACTAACTAGCGATCGTTGTCGTATGAAAGTTCGTTACTTTATCACATTCAATACTGGTAACCTTGGTTGAAATTTAATTAGCCGTTTATTCAGCAGTCAAAAATGCAATCGCTGTTATACAACGAGTTTCAAACACGCATACAAAATAATATAATACCGTAAAACCTCGAATATAAGCCCGGCTTATTTTTCGGGATCCCTGGATGGCCTCTTTTCGAGATGAGCTTATTTTCGATATTACTTTTGCGAACTATAGAAAAAGGCTTCATTCAAAATGAATGGTATAAATTTTGGAATTTATTTTTCAACTATGAAATTTTGAAATTCTGTTTAATATTTTTCAATTTTAACCATGTTAATACAATGAAGTAATATTGATACGAGATTTACTTTTGCAACTGAAGAGGGTGATTCTCGAGATTTAGCCCATGAGATTCTATTCAGGTTTGACGGTATACTATTACGGTTTAAACTGCATCTAAGATTGATCAAATTCCGAAAGTAGGTCCACTCTACAAGTACATATGAATTTCATAGTATCTACAGAACATTTTACTTAAATAATAATATTTAACTTTTTTTAATTTATTTAACTTTTTTTTATTTCGATTCATAAAAATACAAAAAAAACCCATTGTGGCTCCAGAAATTTACCAAGAGGGGTCCGACAAAAAAAGGGGATCGAACCCGGCGGAATGAAAATCCGGAGGTGCAAGGGGGAACTCTCTTCCACTGATTGTACGTCCTGCTATCTTTCTCTCTTCTTTCAGAAACCTAACATTAAAATAGGCCTATCGATATTGCTTTGTTATTTATCGAAAGTAAATCTTTATTTGCCTATTATAAATCTGGTATTAATATTATTAATTTTATTTTTATTATTTTTACTTTTTTTCCTCCTTTAATTCTTTCGATTTACATAAAAAATGTGTCCTCAATGTGTCGTTAATGTGTCCTTTTAAAAATTATTTTTTATTTCAATAATTCTAATTATTTAATGTGGCGTCAATTTTCCTTTTATTTTTATTTCATTAATTATTATTTTTAATGTTTTCCTTATTCATTATTTTTTAAACTTTTTTTAGATTTTAAATTTTCTGATTTAATTAATTTGTTAATGTTAAAAATTGTTTATTCTTTTGTCTTTTATTGTACTATACTGAGGGTCCTAATTTATGAGCTCTGGCTGGATGGACCATCCTCACAATATATTGTTGAAATAAAAATAAATAAATAAATTAATGATCAATAGAAAGTTGTTATTGCTAAATATGGCCAATGTTTTTTTTTATTAAATTAGCGATTGTCAATCAAAATAACGTTACCTTGGATAGGCAAATTAATATTTTGGTCCGTGGCGTCAAACGACAGGTATTCTAGGCCTGTTCACTGGCGCCCCCCACCCCTTGCCCATTTAATAAAACTAAGCCGAAAAATTACAAATACAATGTACCATTAAGTAACGCATTGTGAGTATATCAGGACCGAGTAGGCCAGAAAATGGCTCTTTTGGTCTGTTGTGAGGATAAGTTCCTTAGCACGTTTTTCATTATTTATTTTGTCCACAGCCCCTGCGAACCCTCTCTCGATAGTATAGTTGTAATTTGCATATTGGGCAAATTTTACAGATGTTGTGTTGCAAATTGTGTATAACAACATCCCTATTTAGTGGATTTTATATATTATGGATATAGTTATGTGCAGCTTAGGTATTGTGCATTGTTTTAAAAGGTAGGTTAATGAGAAATTATCGTTCCTTTGATTTTTGATGTTTATTTATGTACAGCAAGTAACATACTTCTTCCCTACAGCTACATGAAACAGCTTGATCCAACCTATTTCCACTGTGTAGCCTGCATAGCCTTCGCCGACGGTGCTGGTGGTTGGTTGTAAGAAGTCAAAATCAAACAATTCTCTACGGCGAAAAACAGAGCTATAAAAACAACCGTATTTACTAGATTTACTAGGTACACTCATTTTGCATTAACTAGTGATATATTCCACTTCGGGACACTGTTTTCCTGGTACTGTAGGTTTTACCTCTGTGTTGTTGTTTACACCACATCATTATTTGATTGCTGAATGAAACAGATTTCCTTTGATAGAAATTATGTAGGCCTAGGCCTACGTAGAAATATACCTCAGCGTCGTCAATTTCAGTTCTTATTAATACATAAGCTATTATTATAATCGCAGCAGATTAAATAACATGTTATATTTCAATGTCTTATTGTGGTAATTATTTTTTTAATGTATGCAAACAGTTTGTTGAATTAGGCCTATCAATACTTGAGTTGAGGGCAAGGTGATCATGTAATTTTTTTTACTTGTTTATGTTTTGCAGACATTATTAAATTTCCTACTCATGGGTGGTCTGATCCACCAGACTTAATCAGAGTATCATTCACTGTTCATGTGTCTACACAAAACAGAGATTACATTGTGTGTCTAATAATACTGTATTTTTACCACAATATGACATTGTGTCAACTTGCCAGTAAATAATAATACAGTTATTGAATCATCTCAGCTTTTTACGCGTTGACCCTGCAGGTCTACGTCCTTTTTGCCCCAGGTTACTGTATTTTACCTAAAACCATTATAACACAGTCATTTCGCACTCTATAATCGCAATAAGAGATGGACAATTATATTCTAATTTTTGTTTTCAACAAACATGCGAACGGGGTTGGCGAAAAAATTAAATAATATTGTTGATCGTAGATTAGTAAGCACATGATTTACTAATCTGTTTTATCAGCCATGTGTATCAAAAAACTAATCAAAACATAAAAATTTAATTGGCTGCATTATACTGTCACAGAAGGAGCATTTACAGTAGTCGTAGTCCGTGTCAGGTATCCTACCTGGAATCCTTCTACCACACTATGTAAGCAAGATCATATACACTACTATAGCTACGTAGTGACTTGAGGGGAAGAAGAAGCTGTATTATACATGTTGTGTATTATTAAGTTCTTCATCCTTGTCATTGTTGCGTGGCCACTTATCCAACTAGGAGACCAATTTCTACTCCACAGGATGGCAACATGTAAAGACTCAGCGTGGTCGTTTTATTATTAAAGGCTGTGGATATTGTTCTGCCAGTTTTACGTAAACCTGAGTCTTTGATTGGAGGAGCTGGCTTGACTGTAACTTTAAACTTCAGTGGCGCTATCGTATCCATCATGTTAATTATAATTTTTAAAAATATACAGTAGATTTAAAACTAAATTAAATTACATTAAAACCATTAACCAAAATTTTAAAAACATTATTTAATATTAATAATATTCAAATATAATCTTCAAATGTCATATTTTATTAGTAATTACAGTATTATTAACTGCATGTAGGAGATTTCCAAAGGAATTTCCAAACATTCCATGTATGGTCATCATTAATAGAGCCACCTGATTAGAGCTTATCATATTTTTCATTTACATCATAAATATGTCATTTAAAAAATTTTTTTTTCACCTTATAACAACTGCCAATTACAGGAGGGAACGATGCTTTATAAACCAAGTCTCATTATGAAGAGGCTTAGGGAGTACTGTACATTAGCGTTTTTGTCGAGAGAAAAATCTGGAATTGATCCCATGAGAAAAAAAAATACTTGAAAAATTTGACTTCGACAACATTTATTTTAAAATAAATTTGTATTTCTTTTGTTCTGTTTCAAATTGAAATTTGAAATTTAGCTGGCCCACAGCAGTGCAATGTAACAGATGCAAACATTCTCCTTTAAACCACCTATGAAAGCTTAGATAATGTGATACAGTAGCTCAAAGGGCCGAGTGATCAAACCCAGTGTAAATTTTGATGTCCTATATATCTTCTGAATCGGGGTCTACTCTACTGCACATAAATGGCCACTTAGCAAAACATGCTCTGAGCTCAGTACGTTGTGTGTTTCTAAACCAGTGAAATGTTAGATACAGCAATTTGAAATGCTGTCCTTGATTTCATGAAAACACATACTGTCGGCAACTTTTTACCCCACTTAATAATAATTTGCCATACAGTAACTTCCCACGACCCGAGGCCTCTTAGCGGACCCCCTAGAAATGACGTAAAAAGAATCCCATAATATACAACCAATCGTCGGACTACAGTACTGTGTAGTATTTTTGCCATCCTTGATGAATCTGCCCCTGTTCCACTGGTGCGTACAATAGTGAAGTTTCATCAAGCCGTAAAATTTTGTAACAAGTTTTCCCATGAATCCATAGATACTGTATGATAATTGCAACACATTTTCTTTTACTATGTAGATGCAACCTGACAACCCTCAGAAGTTCATGCATTTACATTGCAACCCAAACTTGGATCATGACTCATATGCTTGCTAACCAAACCATATAATATTTTGAATACAATGAATCTACACTACATTAATAATAAACTTAAAATCACATTTTGTTAATTATTCACCAACTTTGCTGGAAATGTATTACAGTATTATATACTGTTAAAAATTTATTTTTCAGACCTTGAAAAAATAATTTTGTGTTGAAAATTTGAGTTGTTAAAATTAATAATAATATTAAAAATACATTTTAAATCTGAAACAGTCCAAGGTCAAGGGAACAAATGCCTACTGTATAGCTCCATGAGAAAGTATTTTATGCTACAGTGCTCTACTACAGCATTACTGCTAACTTACTTGGTTAATAGGAGATTTGAAATTGACTTGTGACCCACTGACCCCTTTACTGTACAGTTTGGAGACCTACAGTCGGCCTACTGTACAGTATAATTATTGCTGCGAAGCAGCCAATTCATATTCTTGATAGCAATTTGACCTCTGAAAGGTCATTGTTTGACCTCTGAAAGGTCATTGATTGTCAAAAAACAAGGGCCTAAAACGACTGAAAAGCGGAGTTTCCTTCTTTCGTTCTGCCGGGTAAAATCAATTACTGTACTTTAGGCGACGTTTGTAGACTAACCAACACGTACCAACGTCCGTATGTCGCGCTAGCCTTATTCTACTCTAGGCCAAGACTAGCTAGGATAGGTCTAGCCTTGAAGGGACGAAGGTCCCAATGAAGAACAACGTCGCTCCTTGATAGCTAAAATTGTCTATTTAATATCGCAATAATTCATTATTATTATTATTATTATTGTAATCGCACAACTCGCGTAATGTCTCGTATCTATTGTTGTGACGTCATGGCTCGCTGGCTCACACTTGCGATGTCTCGCACTTGTAATCAAATAACTCGCTGGCTCACACTTGCGATGTCTTGCACTTGTAATCAAATAACACGCTGGCTCGCACTTTGGCAACACTCTCTGGCAGTCAACTCACCCCTAAAAACCCTAGAAAAATTACGACTTTGTTACCCAATGAGAAGTGTTCTAATATAGACAATGGGTCGTGTCTCATATTATTTGTTATATTTTTATTATTCATTATTTTCACTTGACTCGCATAAATAATTTTGTTCGAAGAACATTTATATACAGTTGTACTTTGCAGCACTTCACTTGCAATTTGCAATTTCTAGTATTATGCTTACTATAATGCAACATTGTGTTTTTTTATTTCTTTTGTTTTACTTACATGAACTTATTAAATTTTAAGTAAATAAAGTCTTAAGTCTAGTGTCAAGTTTACAGTTAGTCACTGAATTACAAAATAACACAATTGCTTTCCTATAATGCCGATATAATACTGTAAATGATAGAGACAGACTGTAGATAGTTATCTGATTTTTGATGATTTCCTTGACCCACTAAAATACTGTACCCACTTTATACTTTTTACAATATTTTATGGTATTGATGAATTGTAAGAAATGGGTCTACTGCAGCTTTTGTGAATATCAAATTATTGATTTACCACAGCAAGGACTTTGGGTTAGGCCAGCTGTGCAGGTAATGTACATGTACAGTTAAGCGGACATTCCGTGGCAAAACAATGTAACTTGAAATTTTCACTTTTGGAGAAAAATAGAGATCATGTTTGCAATTTGCCAATAAATTGTTGTGCCCTTTTGAAATTTTGCAGGATTGTATATCTATAGAAATTTTGATTGTAAAATTTTTAATTGCAGTGCAACCGCTTGTTTCTTGAAAAGTTATTAGCGATTTTCACAGATACGTTGTTTTGCCTCGGAAACATGTCAGGCTTCGTATTGTTGCAAGTGCAACATATTTTTGGAATTTATCACGTTTGGGCAATCACATGCATTATCCAGCTTGTTCATGCATCGCTGTTAAGACTATATATATGAAACACCATTTACCAGTTGATTTTGCCTTGTCAAACTCAATCGGCTCAAAACAATTTTTTAATACCATTCTCAAGGCAAAACAACGTACAGTATCTACTGTACAGTGTAGATACAATGTTTTGCCCCATAATCTTGCAGTTACCTGGTTTTACCAGGGAAAATCATTAGAGTTTAAGTTCTGTGCTTAAAGAGGTGGTGCTACTGTATCTCAGAAACCACTCATTCATTGAGACCTGAAATTTTCACAGGTACTTCAGAAGTGTTTAAAATACAGTACTCGCAAATTATTATTATCTCAAAATCCACAAAAGTGTCAGGTACGTGGTTTTGCCTCAGGACGGCTGAAAGTGTTCACTGTGATCAGCCTACTCCATATACAGTATTTTAAATCTTGAAATGAAGTATACATATAGTGGTTTAGGAAAAAATATACTGTAGTGTGTACTTTCAATCTTTAAAATTAGGCCTGGTTTCCATAAAATTGCTACATGGTGTTGGCTTTAACACGTTGGCTGCTAAAGACGAGTATACAGTACTCGCCCACAGGGTGTTGCTGAGGGCGCCAGGGATGAGTATACTCGTCAAAAAATCGGGGGAACCTTCTAGCGTTTATAACTTTTTTGTTATACATTTACAGTAGAACCACAGACTCAATGGCTGGTAGTTCGGGGAAGGTACACCTAGACGATAACTTACAAATGACGTATGTATGGTTGTTGTGTTATGTTGCCGGTAGTACACTCGAGCAGCACAAGTGGAAGCGCTATTTGAACATATACCAACCCATGCAAAAAGCGGACGAGATAACTCGCACTTGGCATAGTAAATAAAAAGTATTTTTCCGCCAATTTAATAGACAGATCATTTTGATGATGACTAAATAATATTTCAAAAAAGTATGTTTGTACATGTAAAGTTGTTTGGCACACGGGAAGGAACCTTAAAAAAAGGTCCGGCAGTCAACGTGTTAAAACCCAGCATTTCATCTGCATAGTATTCATATAGATATTGTAACAATAACATGCTGCCCCACAAGGTACTGTACATAGTGGTGGATCCAGGAATTCGAAATAGAGGAGGCCCATGGGGAAATTTCACATGTGAAACTACTGTACTGTAGACCACCTCGGCCCCACCATGGTTGGGGGCTGAGGCAAGAAAATTTATGATGATGGCACCTCTAGCTGGCTGGAAAAGGCACATTAAGACCTGAATTCGATTGTAATTTTCCTACATGTATATATTTCACCAAATTTTTTACAATTTAAAAAAAATATTTAGGGGGCTTCCCCCGTTGAATCTGCCACTGGTAAAGTAGAACCATGGAGGTACAGTCTGCCCTCTAATTCTAAGACCCCTCTAATTCGAGACCACTTTTTCAAAGTACCAACTGACCCTCTATATTTTTAACACTGATAGCTTACACTCTAATAGACTTCTCTAATTCGAGGTCGAGACCACCTTTATGGAAGTACTAAGTGATAAAATGGTCTTCAATTCAAGACCATATTTAAAAATGAAATCAGATACAAGTTTTTTTAAACAATTAATGCTCTTCAAAATTATAACAGATGTATTTTCATAAATTTATCCATGTAATTAAAGGTTTCTTAAATGTATTACAGTATCTTTGAATAAGCCAGTTTTAAAAATAATTTAGTTTTAGGCCACTGGCTATCATACAATATTCAGTAAATTTTTTACAACAATCTGTTACAAAGCACCTATTGACAAAAAGTGCTGTTGAAGCACTGCTTATCTCTAATTTGATACAGTCCTATGCTTCTGATTTTCTTCTTCAACCATTTAATTGATGCACTATTCCCCAGCCCTGTAGCCAATGGAGGGGGAGGGGAAATTCTCCTGCTAAATGTTCTGCCCCCCTGCTAAAATCAAAGATATGTAAATAATTAAAAATAAAGGCAAAAATTATTACAGTTATTGGGGGAAAATATTGGGGAAATCTGGTCAAGATGGAACACCTAATAATTGTAAGAAGAGTGTCATCTGAGTGTTTCTCTGTAGTTATTCACATTCATGTGAAAAGAAGTGGATATCCAACCAATGGTTGTCCCAAGTTGTCTTTTGGAGACCACTTTTATCTTCGGTCTTCATTTAGAGGTTTCAGGTTTGGTTACTTTCCAATTATGCTGCTTGGAGACCACTTTAAGCCTGTGGTCTCTATATAGAGGTTTCTAATTTGAGACCAAACCCTGAGACCACCCCAAATTTCAGATACACAAAGTGGTCTCGAATTGGAGGGCAGACTGTATACAGTAAACAGTAAGCCTATGTTTCAATGACAAGCACATTTCTCTGTTCACATAATTACTGATACTTTATAAATGATTATTATATTCTACTTCCTTTTATTTTATTTTATTAATAATACAGTATTTTTTATTACCGGTAATCACAAAAGTGACATGGAAATTGATTTTGCTCCAGTATAACATGAAAAAGCAAAGTCTTCTGAAATTTTTAATAATTTTCGCCTGGAATTGGAATTTCATCAAATTTTAATAAATATTGAAATTTTATAGAATGACTACTATGTTAATAATAATGGCACAGGAAGTATGAGTGACTTTATACTCACATGATTATTCCGAAAAAAAAAAATGACATCCGCACGTCCATCATAAATCTTGCCATAAAAGGGCATGCAAAATTAAAGTATTTTTCGATTGAAAAGGTTGCAGCTAAGCTGTATAGTGTTCCATTGAACTTTACTGTATCTGAGACTGTGTCTATTGCTTGTTGTAGAAACAATTCCCTTTCATCTTCTTCCAGTAGGTACTAGAGAATAAACAAGAACATACAGTAAATGAATGTTTATATTCATTTCCAGATTCAGTGTATTCTATTTTTATATTATTTCATCATATTTACAGGTTCCATTGTGGGACATTGAAAGGGAAATTTACAGATGAAAATTTACATTAAAAAAAGTAAATTATTAAATTATCAAACCTAGGAACAGTTCAACTGTATGTATACCGTTTGGAAGGATTTGAATTGTAGATTTAAAAACTATTCTGTACGCAATCATATAACGTTAAGATGCCATCCATTCTTTTGAACATTTTGAAAAGAGTACAACACATACAGTAAGGGGGTTGTTAATAGTGTACCATACTGTGCGGTACTGTAGGCAGTTAAACTTCAATTTGTTCTCAGATTGTAATACAAGTTTTTGCATTTGTATTTCTATTTGTACTCCAAGCTCTCTTATAAAATTAAAAAAATGATAAGCAAAATTACACAAATCAACATTTTATACTCTTTCAGAGGGAGGGAGGACAGGGTTGTAGCTGTAGAAAACTAAGGGTGGGTGGGAGATCGCATTATTCTGTAAATACTGTAAGTGTGGATTTTAAGGATGGACAAGGGGGTTAATAAAGGTGAGTAAGGGGGCCATGAAATCAGCTTTAAACTGGGTGGAAAACTTCCAAGGCTGGGTGGCTCCACCCACTGTAGGGGGGAACTGTTTTTTGAACTGTACTTTTCTTTCAGCATTGTCCTTCTCCACCTAAGAACAGTACCAGATTGTACAGTAAATATGATAGTAAGCTGGATGTAGCTGCAATTGTACAGTACGATACTGTATAAATAAATGCTTTGAATAAATTGAAAGTCCATTCTCTTTAAATATTTCTTTTTTGTTCCACATCAAAAGGTTCAAACAGTGTGACCTACTGTACTGTACAGTTAAAACTGGCATATACACTGCTTCATTTGATGATGTGATGCTAACAGCAGATTGTCATTAAAACAATGTTGCATGCCCTTTTACATTGCATTCTTCGTGTAATCACATCGGCCCGGTATGTGCCTGGTCGTATTGATGCCCCTACTTCAATCTTCTTTGTCTCATTGTGAGGAGTGGAGTTTCAGATGAACTCCAAAATATTTGAACCATAGATCCTGGAATTTGAAAAAAAAAACCCAAAAAACATTTTATTCAAGCTACAGTATAGTAATACAGCTCCCATCTCCTCTGACGATGTCAAAACATTCCATTATAATTGGCAGTTAGTTTATTTATTTTTCTCAATACCTTTTAATAATTTTCCAGCAATTTTAAATTCAGTAAAATTGTAACATCTGCTATACTTTTTTTTCTTTTACAGTAGTTCGTCTTGAGTAAGAATCGTTCAAAAGAAGGCCTGTGAAAGCGTGAGGCAGTGGAATGTCTTTGAGAGACTGTTTTAGTTTTATATTTGTTATTATGTGCTAGCGTGGAATGCTAGCGCTTGGTATGGACCTACTGGAATATAGCTCTTTGCTGGAGTACTGTAGGCGTTACCAATTCTGATTATGGCTGGCTGTGAGCAGCAGCAGCCTGGTAGTACCATGGAAGAAGATGGCAAGGAGAAGGTATGCATAATACCAATAGGCTGGAGGCGGGAGCTTGACAAAGGTGCTGTTGCTTATTTTAGGTAAGTATAAGTACTAATAATATTACTATCTAAATAAAAAAAATAATAAAATAATAATAACATTGGTGTAATCAATAATTTAATGGTAATTTTATTGGTTCATAAAAGTTAGTGATAATTATTATAAGATACTGTAATTAAATAATAGTTATAAATAACCATTATTTTCATGGTAGTAAATAAAATACTCTTCAGAAAAAAAAGTAATTGGTAGTTGGTGGCAGTACTAAATTTAATTAAATTAATGATTGTAATTAATTCTTGTGATTGTAATTAATTTCCTTTAATATGAATAATAATTAATTTGCCTGCCCATCTTTTTGTAATTAGTATATTAATAGCTATATGATAAATATTGATTACTAAATAAATTTTATTTACTAATTAGTAATAATATTAATAATTATAATTAACTTCCATCATATCCTTAGATGTCAATCTAATTTATAGTTATAAATTGTTTTGTATTTCATGTTTCATGTCGACGCTCCTGTTACTGGCAAATTTTATTGTTATAAAAATAAATTATATTACAGAAATTTGCATCTTCATACTGTATTTAAATTAAGCTGTATCACAAATATTTTAGAGTTACTGTATTACAGATAGATTTTAAAGAGTAATTACTACATAAATTTATTAATAACACATTAATAATTTAAACACATTCATTATAATGTCTTTGATATTTAATCAGCTCAAGTGGATTTAAACTGACAAGTATACAGGAGATAAAAGCCTACATAGCAACGGAGGGAACTTGTAAGTGTGGTCTACAGTGCCCTTTAATGGTTGAAAGGGTATTTAACTTTGATTGCAAAGTCAAAGGCAAAATAAGGCTTGCAGAGGATGTGATCAAAGACAGTGATTTAACTAAACTGTGTAATCATAAACGGAAAATAATTGCCATGGCAACCTTGCAGAATAGTGTGACTGATCTGGAGGCTAGCAATGGACATGACAGCAAAAGAGACTGTAAGGCAAATACAAAGGGTAAGTTTGACAAAATTTTAAGTATCATGTATTTTTACTTAGATCCATGAATCAGCTGATGATTAATCATTTTAATTGCGCAGTTACAAAAAAGTTCTTTACAGATTTCACACACATGACTGAATTTAGTTAAATATTAAGTGTGTATTTAGCCTTACAATTCAAAACTGAGAATTGCATGCGCACAATACAGATTCTGCTGTGTTTTAAGTTCAAGATTTTCTTTAACCATTGCAATCTTTATTGTACGTCACAAACAGTTATTATTATTTTTCTGTTTTTTCACCAGGTACTAAACGATCACGTACAAAAGCAAAAGTTTCAGCTTGTCAGCAGAAGCAATTGCCGAGTCTGTCAGTTTCAAAGCTCTTAGCCATGCAACAGGGTGGGAAAATGTCAGGCCCTTTGCCGTCTATGGACTCCTTTACTGCCAACAGATTTCATGCCACCTCTACAATGCCAGCTCAGTATGCTGCAATGAATAACCCTAGGCATATACATAATTTTCCTATCCAAGGTCATAATACACAGTTGGCAGGAGATCTAGCATTTGATGCTTTGTTAGCTGCAAGGACTATGGAAAAACTTAATGGCTATACAACTTCAGACACACAAACCATGCAAGGAATCGCTCAACATGTGTCACCACCTGGAATTCATCGTGAAATGGTTGTAACTCCGAATGGAGACATCTTTCCAGGTGTTGTTCCACTTGCAAGCAACCTTTTATCACCAGGGATTTCACCTGGATCTTCTGGTTTTACTAATGTACAATATCAAACTAGTCCTCAGTTTTTGCATGGTAAACCAATGCAACAGATTCCTGGAATTCCACATGTATCATCCTTTGTTCCAACAGCAGAACCTATTCAAGATGGACTCCACCAAGCTCATGGAAAGATCCAGGAAAATCATCTTAATCATTTAAGAAGAGGATTGTCATTTCCTCAAGCAGAAGGTCAGTTTTATCCACCTCCAGTACCTCTAAGGCATTCAACACCTGTAGAACCTACCCCTAACAAGCTTTCATTACCTGTTCTTGGACAATCAATGATAACCTCGTTTCCAGCGAGTTCCCTGCTAACAGCAGCAGCCAGAGCACAAATAGCTGAAAAAGAACTTATAAATCCATCTGAAAATATTTTAAGCAATCAGATAAAAACTGTTCCAAATGTACCAAAATCAGTGCCTTTACTTAAAGATGGACCTAGAAAGAAGATGCTCAATTGCAAAGAAAGTGATACCTCCAGAGAGGAAGCTAATAGTGATTTTGTTTCATCAGATATTTTGTCAAAAGACTGTGTTACAAGTGCTACAAAGAATGTGGAATCAGTCAAGAACAATTCAAGTGAGGACAATAAACATTTGGTTCTGAAAAGGAATCAAGATATAGCTACTTCAACTTCCTCAGTTCCAACAAGCACAGTTAGTGAACCTTCTCCCAAAAAACCCAAGTTTGATGAGAGTATAAAACAGCAGTCTGATGCAGTTGTAGAAGATGTACTCATTTCTGAGAACTCCATATCTAGGACAGCTGAACATGATAAATCAATTAATGTGACACCTGCAAAAGAAAGTAGCAACACGTCTACTACATGTACAATAGAAGGTGTCAATAATGTTACTGGTGAAATGGAGACAAAGAAAATGCAGCTTGATCACATGATTCGACATCCGGTTCAAATGCAACATGATCAAGAATGGTATCTTTCAATGATTAAGAACCAATCTTCCATGATGAACCAGGTGCCTCCAGGATTCAATCATCTGATTGGTGGCATGCCTAATAACTTGAATAACTGCTTCCAATCTGGATGTGTACCCCCAAACATAATGCATCAACGGAATGTTCCTTTACCAAGTTTATCAGAGAAATCAACTAAAGAATGGTTGGCAGAAATGAATATTAAGAATATGCAACAAACTTTTGTCAACTTTCAACATCAACAGAGGATTGGCTTTGGATCTCACATGCTTCCGGGGAATCGTGGCTTTGGTCAGATGCATCCGTCAATGCTACAAAACATGCTACAATCAGGTGGTTTAGCATCTCAGATGGGAAATGGAATGGGATTTCAACAAGTACCCAATCCCATTGCATCTGTTGGTTTACAGACTACTCCCATTGGAACTAATGTTTCTCGGCCTAATCGGCGAAAATCACCTGGCAGACAATATGGTAGTGTGAAGAAAAGTCCTAAAAGCGGAGCTCGTTCAGGGCCACAAAAAGTAAAAGATATTCTTGCTATGAGGAAAGAAAAAGAAAAGGAGATCGAAAGGGAAAGAGGGCTGTTGGAAGAAGCAGAGAAGCAGAAAATGGGTAAGGCAGAAGATGAAGCAGTCTATCATGCTGTCATTGATGCATCAGGTACAGGTTTGAAAGTCCTAATAACATCGGGACAAGAAACGCCTGCAACAATCGCAACCCCACCAGTTGTGTCAATTGCGAGTGATGTTAACATGGCAGGGACAAATTCTTCCTTGCACAATCCTGAAAATCTAACAGAAAAACTCCAAGTAGTGGATAATTGCAAAAATGAAATACCTGATGTTCAACCCATAAGTTTTAAAGACCAAAGTGAAGTAGTAGCAATAAAAACCACATCACCAGAAGTGATAGCTGCCCAGTCAGAGCTCTCCAGTTTACCGTCCAATGATATTTCATCCAATCAGTCACCAGGAGATGGTTTAATTATTGCTGGTGACGATTATAAAAGTACTATTGTCGATTCTAAGGCTCAGGTTGTTGATGCAGAAGATAAGAACCAAAGAACTGTATGTCAGACCACCATAACCCCACCACTTCCTTCTGAACCTATGTGTAGTCATAGCATTAAAGATGAAAATAGAATTGATCTCCCATGCATTGAAGAAATTCCTAAGGAAACCAAGGAAGATGTTGAACAATCTTTAGATAGTAGTGATGTCATCATACATGATTCTCTGGAACAGTCTATTAATGATTGCGATAAAGACAAAAGTGATCGGCCACAGCCAGATTCAAATCAGGTACCCAAAGATAATGTCAATGATGCAATAGAAACTAATGTTGCAATTGAGTCTGAACATGCATCATATGAGTTGTGTGAAGTTGTTAGTGAGAAGAGATCTAATGATGCTATGAGCAAAACTAGAATTTGTGAAGCATCTCAACCAACAATAGTATCTACAGCGATGTTAACTGTAACAAAGTCGATTGGCTCTTGCTCTGTTGAGTCTTCTGAAGACCACCAATGTAAAACAAACACTGATATACTACCTATAACTGGAAAAATATTAGAAAAATCTATTGAGGAAACTAATAAAAATGTTGAATCAACATTGCATGATGGATGTAATAGTCCACCCCCTTATAAAGCAGATCTTAGTGATGATAAGCTGTCAGAAGTTAGTTTATTTTCGGCAGACATTTCAGATAAAGTTAATCCTGAAAACTCTTCTGTAAATACACCTGTTGACTTGAGTGATATAAATAGCTCTGACCCACCAAGGAATAAAGAAGTAATCATAGAACAGCCACACATGTTTCACTCAAGTGCTGCCACCCCTCAAGCACTTAAATTATCAAGTATAGCAGATGACATCACTGAGGTGGAGGTTAGTGGGGAAAGTAATTTATTAAATCAACAGTCAGGAATGAATGACTCGGAAAACACATCTCAAAAAGCTGGACCTCTAGAGCTTCGTTTTGTAAGAGATAAAACCAACTTCGGTCTTGCAGATAATAAAGAAATCATGGAAGAATTAAAGGAGCCAGTTATCCTGCAAACAGAAGAGTCTCCATTTGTTGAAGAAAACAATTCTTATCCCCTACCGAAGTTTGAACAGGGAGTAATTAATATTTCTAATAATTTAAGTGATAGTAGGACATCTGAATCTCATAGTGTACATCAGTCTATGCCAGAAACCAATACAATTTCAGATGCAAAGCAGGAACCAGCTGAAGATAAGACTCGGTTTGAGTTGAAAGACATAACTAATTCAGCCATAGATGAAGTTACTTGTGATTTGGATTGTCAAATGGTAGTTGAGTCTAATATTATTGATGCTTCACCAGACGATGATGGCACTATTGCAGATAGTGTAGAAGCTATGCAAGTTGAGCCTACAGGCACACTGATGACTAGTACTGTGAAGGAGCTTGTTGATGATTTAGAAACAAAAACTGTAGATGATGATAGAAACCTTGATAAAAGCGTGCAACTTGAAAACTTAGTGCAAGACAGTGTGATAGGCAAGCATGATAGTGAAGAAATCATAAATGTAGAAGAGGAAAATTCTTGTAATTTCATCAAATGTGATTCGGAAATAAATACAGATGAATGTAGTGAAGAACTTAATAATACAAAAATAAGTTTAGACAATATAGAACTATCTAAATTACAGCAACAGACTTCAAATTCTGGATTTGAAAGGTTAAGCCTTGATGCTTCAGAGAGCTTACAAGAAAATTGTTTACATTCCTTTGCAAGTACCTGCGAAAAAGTGGCTCCTTTGCCGGTTAACTCTACTGCTCTTCCACCAGCCTCCCAAGAAGCTGACAATTATTGTATTGAACCACTTTCTGAAAGTATAGGTAATGTTGATGATAGAGAAACAGTAGAAAGTGATATATCAGTTGTGGAGGTAAACACAACTTATATAGAACAGAAACAAACAGTGGATGAAGAGACACTTGCTCAAGTAAAAGTTGATCATTTGCCAAGCAATCAGGAAGTGTGTGAAACCTTGGAATTGGAGAAAGAAATCAAAACGAATGTAATTCAACCCGATGTCGTTAAACATGACTTGACTGTCAGTTCTACCGATCAAAATAAAAATCTTAAATCAACTGCAGCTGGAACAATTGGCAGAGAGCAATCAAAGGCAGCTTTGTTATCAGAACGGCTAGAGAACTCTGAAAAGGAGTTTACATTGGTGAATCTTGTTAATGGAGAACTTGGTGGCAGACTGCAAACAAGGAAGGAGAAGCAGAAAGATGTAATTAAGAGTGCAATAGAGGAAGAATGTCTTGAAATAAGTCAGCATAACTCAGATAAACCTGAAGATATTGAAGAAGCTTGTAAAGGTTGGTGGCAAATATAATACTCTGTTTCAATTTCATTAGCTTACATTTTTTCATCAGTGGTTCACACCACAGTTTTTTTTTTAATTTATTGCACCGCTCCAGGTGTAGGCTACGAAAATAAGGAATTATCTAAAAAATAAAGTTAGTTGCTAACTATTAGTTTACTATAATGTTAATACTAGAAATTGCAAATTGCAAATGAAGTGCTGCGAAGTACAACTGCATATAAATGTTCTTCAAACAAAATTATTTATGCGAGTCAAGTGAAAATAATGAATAATAAAAATATAACAATTAATATGAGACGCGACCCATTGTCTATATTAGAACACTTCTCATTGGGTAACAAAGTCGTAATTTTTCATTTTTGTCAAAAAGTGTCTATAATGGTGAATTATGGTTTAGGTTTTTTTTTAATAAAGTTTAAAAAATCTCTATGTATGTGGAAAATGTAGTTGATTACCAAAGGTTACAATTTTTATTTTGAAGACTGCATGGTCTAGGAAGTGTACATTTTTTTATGGGGCAAGTTTCCAAGGGTGGGTTTTCTAGGGGTGAGTTGACTGCCAAAGAGTGTTGCCAAAGTGTTATTTGATCACAAGTGCGAGACATCACAAGTGTGAGCCAGCGAGCCATGACGTCATGACAATAGATACGAGATGTTAACGAGTTGTGCGAGGTATCAGCTGAGATTTGTGGAGTACAATTCAAAAAACAATAGTCTAATAATGAATTATTGTGATGTTAAATAGACAATGTTAGCTATCAAGGAGCGACGTTGTTTTTCATTGGGACCTTCGTCCCTTCAAGGCTAGGCCTATACCATCCTAGCTAGTCTAGGCCTAGAGTAGGATAAGGCTAGCGCGACATGCGGAAGTTGGTACATGTAGGTTAGTCTACAAACGTCGCCTAAAGTAATTGATTTTACCCGGCAGAACGAAAGAAGGAAACTCCGCTTTTCAGTCGTCTTAGGCCCTGGTTTTTTGACAAACAATGACCTTTCAGAGGTCAAATTGCTGTCAAGAATATGAATTGGCTGCTTCCGCAGCAAATACTTTTCAACATCAACAGCCAGTTGATTTGCAGTGGTATATCTAAGATGGCATGGGCCCCACAAAATGATGGCGCATCAAGCATCCCTTACCCCTGAAACTTTTCTAAATAATAACACATCAAGATCTTATTGCTTCCAGGATTTATAATAATTAATAGTGGAAAAAATTAAGATTGCCTATTGAATGATTATAAAGAGGAATAAAAATTACCATTTTTCACTCATGACAGTTGTACTAAGTTGTCAAAAATAATTTTGTTTTTATACAAGATCATTGTCTGGCAACAGATTTGGGGACAATAAAAATAAAAAATAAACAGTTGATTATTGAATTATAATAGATAAAAAAATATTGAATTAGATTAAATATGAAAGTGTGTAGCTACCAGGTACCATAACATCAATATTAAAAGTTGTAAACCCCACAAACATTTTTTTTTAAAGAATAGAAATACTAATATTTCCATTTATCAATTACATTGCACAATTATAATATTCTTTCCTTGTTTTATTTTCTAAAAAGAAAACACAAACTGCACCCATGAATCATCTCCACCATCACCTGGGGAGGACCTGCCTCCAAGTTTTGGGATTGGTGATCTTGTCTGGGGTCAAATTAGAGGATGTGCTTCATGGCCCGGTAAGGTTGTTTGTGAAAATGATGTTAAAGGTCATCGACATTCGGAGACAGGCAAGGTATGAATCATTTTATTGAATTTATTTTTATAAAAAAATACACTAATTTGTTGTACTTTAAGAACCTCTATATTTCTGATTTGGCCATATCACTAAAATTCTTTATTCGTATCCAAGGTTTTTCAAAAAATTTGTACCGTAAGACACCTGTTATTTGTTAGTTTTTGATGTGCGTCAAAAATTAAAATGTCACAAGTCATGTTGTAATAGTGTTTTGAAAGTACAGTTAGTACATACATGTATACAATGTTTTCTATAGGAGTTCAATTGTAGTCAAGGTTGTGCTAGGCCTGACAATCTTGGCATGATATATGCACAGCTTCTTAGCGGAGTTCATTGCTCTATAATATTGTGTTAATGTTAGTACGATGAATTAATAATAATGCATAGATTTGCAGTACTGTACATGTCAGTAGATAGTTCTGAAAAGCTGTAAATACATCCGTCAGATTTTTTTTTCTCTAAAATTCATCAATAAACATTATCATTGTTTAAAGATGTGCTATCAGTCAAAAAGACAGGAAAATACCTCAGAAATTTAATAGCATCAAATATATTATTACCTTCCTACGAGAAAGTTTGAAAAAATGTAGTTTTCACCGATTTACAGACATTTTACTACAAAAATCTTTAAATTGATTACCAGCTAATGTAATTATCTGTGCAAATGAATACAGGAAAATTGTTATTGGTCTGAAAATTTACTAGGTAATTTTTTTTTCATTCAAGTTTTTGATTTGAAGTATTCATTTAGAGTAAACCTGAGGAATGTGAAGTTTGCAAGCATTTATTTTATATGCTGGGTTCCAGTTGTTAAATCTACGAATTCAAGTAAATATGATTTTTTGTTTTCTCATTTCACTTTTTTTCTAGATTTGGGTAAAGTGGTTTGGAGATCACACTTTTACACAAGTTGAACCTGACAAATTAAAGAATCTGACGGAAGGACTTGAAGCCCACCATACCACCAGAGCAAGAAGTAGAAGGTACATAAATTATATAATTATCAGTACATTGCTTTCATCATTCTGTTTTTTATACACATGTACATTGAGATGTTTTAATGTGTTTTGCATGTCAACACCAATAATAGCAGACATAGGAAGTCTGCTATTATTGGTGTCAATGAACCAGTACCGTTGGCTGGTAGCAGGAACCAGTATTCACAGGCCTATATAATTTCTGTAGTTAAGTTGTTCTGTAGTTAAGTCTTTTTTCCCCTGAAACGTCGCACCTCCTTACTTGAGGTAGCGCCGCGAACTTAGCAGTGCACGGTAGGGGAGCCATAAGCTTATCCTTATTTGCGCCATATTTGCGCTAGTATTACAGTACTTACACTGGCATAACCTAATCCTGGACTAGGCCCACAGGCCTATGCAGCTAAGTCTGAGGGGGCCTAAAATTGCATGGGTAATCTTCCTCTTTACGTAAATAACACTTTTTAGACTAGGCATTAACAATATTATAACAAACGTTCACACGTCATCACCTTAATTTTATGTTCGTAAAATCAGGGATTCGTTCAATCGGGGTTCGTAATTGAGGGTTTCTGATGTACCAGGATCATTGACCGGTATCAATGTACCATTACCATTGACTGGTAGTAGTAATTTGTATACACAGGCCTATATCTATACAGCAGATTACAGTAGTACAGGTACCAGTGACTGGTATCAGTGTACTTGTACCAGTGACTGATATCAATGAATCAGTAGGCCTACCATTGACTGGTAGCAGTATTCATAGGCCTATATCTATAGACTAGTACCATTGACTGGTATTAGTGTACTCGTACTGATGACCGGTATCAATAAACCAGTAGGAATGACTGGTATTAATGCAACAGTAGCAGTGTAGTCCAGTCAATGGATGATATTAGGTAGTTTTCACCGCACGATGTTATCCTTAACTTTAACGTTAGTACCCAACATGCAGTGCGATAGCTCTGCCACTTTAGTAAACAAACTGAAATACGCATGCGCTAACCCGTAACCAACATACGTCAAGCACATATAATTCTGAAATTATCATACTCTGCAACGCAAGATGAATAAATTATGACGTCATCTGTTAACGTTAAGGTTACCGTCGTCCAATGAAAACTGCCTATCAGTGGATCTGTAACAATGACCAATCTCTATCTGGATTGGAGTACACCTTCATTACTTTAACCGATCTTTACCTATGAAAGAATTGCATGTACTAAAACAAAAGTGTTCCTCCAGTCAAATCAGTATGCCTACATAGGCAGAAATTCTCTGTTAGCAAGCCAGTCAAATACAGTATGAGCATGCTCTTGCACCAGCCAATGGACCATTGCATTCCTGCCTCTTGTACATCGTTGCTAGAGTCCATAAAAAAAAACATTTGTAGAATAATATAACATGTAGAATATACACATTCCTGGCCCTGCCTATTAATTATCATTGGTGTGTAGTTAGATTGGATTGACACTCTCCAAGAAAGGTTCCTTACAGATTTTGTGAAAAACTTTACATGCCACAAAAAATGAAGTTTTCATGTGTAAAAATGAAAGGCCTAGTTCAGGCTAGGTGAATAAACCCAGCTCAACTCACCGGGTTTATCCACATGCCAGTCTGAACTAGGTGGCTTATCTCAAGTCTGGCTGGGTTCCTATAGTAACTAGGCCTGGCGTGCCACAGTGTTTAACTTTTTCTGAGCCGGGCCTTAATCGCTGTGAGGTGTCTTGCGTTGACTTCCGTTAAAAAAATGACCAATCAGCATTCAACTATGTGTTCTGTGAGCAAGCGTACGTTTCGAGTACAATGTTTTGAAACTCGTTTCCTGGTTACGGTTCATTAATATGCAAATGCTCACGCCTTACTAATCCCGCTCGTCTGACGCCCGGAAAAGTTAAGCTGGGCTTATCATAAGCCTGGCTTATCTCCAACTCTGACTGTAGCTTTATGTTTTCGATATAAATCATTGTTAGACGAGACTTTTATTATACCTTGTTTAGCGAAACCCGCCGACTGCAAATATTGATGATTTTGAGTAAAAATATAATTTTATTTTTAACCAATTAGAGCACACTTCGCCACGAAAATTAGAAATTTCAGAAGAAAATAAAATTTTTCTTTATTTTTATTACGCCCTCCGCTGCCTTGAAATCTCTAAAGATAAGATATGTATATTTCTTTCTAATTATATAAACTGGAAGCATTTAGCCATCGTATTTTACACTCACCAATAAGATTTTATTTTTATTTTTATTCCGCCTTCCTCTGAAGATCTTCAGAAAAATAAGTACGCGAAACAAGGAATAAAAAAAGTCTCGCCTTATTGGGACAAAAACATTCAATGGTTTTTTTTTGTTTTATTTTTTTAAATAGAAGTCGAAAAATAACCAGTAGCCTTGAAATTGCGATCCAGGAAGCTATGACTGAATTGGATAAGAAGATGGAACAGGTGAGGGCGCCATTACAGTATTGAAAGCCAGCCCAGTGAGGGAGTCAAGTTAGTATAGCGTCTGCAAACTTTGGTTGGTTCTGGCTGGCATTTGATGACTTATGCATATCGCACTAGAAAATCTATGTTTAACAATTTTTTTTCCCTTTAATTTGGTGTTAGTTTTTAGTTTTATTTGATTACTTTTAATTTGTTGCATCTTGTAGTCTTGCAAAATTGGGAAGTGCGTACACTGAATGAAAATTTTATTTTTATTATATTTATTTGTTTCACTTCTAACAGCAAGTTTAGACTACCCTACAGTTGTTGGGACAGGGGGAACTATGAGGTTCTATAAGTATTTCTACGTTTAATGAAGCTTGATTGTTTTTAGTTTTGATTTTTAATTTAAAACCCAAAACATACTGGGATTGAAAAGTAAGCTTCTGAAAAATTAAAAACTCCTCCAATTGAAAATATAAATACAAAGATTATTATTTTGCTTGTATTGCTATATGGATTTTGTATTTTTAATTTGCACATTTTTTAAAAATTTCATAATCTGTCACTGCTATTAGTCACAAATTGCCTATTAAAATGACATGGAAAGATTAATTTATGCATACAAGCATACAGAGTTGCATACATACTAACAGCATGGGACTTTCATGTGGTTAGCCTTGGTGTTCACACCAAATAAAGCCATCCAATCATCTTTTTATTATTTTTTGTATTTTCCAAAATAATGTTTTCATTTTTTATATAATTTTTATTTCTTTAAAATTATGATAATTGTAGGTATGTTATGTACATACCTATATACATATATACAAACAACAATCAAATTTAAAGGTAGGCTTTAAGAACACTGATTTATTTGTGCCTCTAAAATGTTGCCACTCCTGTGGTCTCTATTTAAGTCTTTCTTTGAATTTATTTTCTTTTTTATGTCTATTTATCAGAACATACATGGACCTCTTAGAGCATTTTTTGTAAGCTTGTGTGGTTGAGGATAATTATCATCACCGCCATCCGTTTTTGTATGCCGAACCCCTTTTCTGTGACTTGTTGAGTAGTCTTGCTGGGTGCAATTTCTAATATTTTCAATCACAAAGCAAATGATAATATAGATCAAAAAACACATTAATATAGTGAATACTGCTTAAAGAATTCTCTGCTTGTGGAGGACTGCAGAGCTACTTTTGTACTTGGAAGGTGCCTTAGAGCAAATATTGTAAAATATTTGTCATTAGATAAATACTAGAGTAATGTACTGAACTTGTACCTGACCAGTAGAGGAGAATATATTCTTAATTCAATTCAAAGCTTAGAAAATTAACGTGGAGGACCTCAGGACTACTTTTGTATTTGGAAAGTGCCTTAGAGCAAATATTGTACAGTATTTGTCACTAAATAAATACTACAGTACAGTACAGTACTGAACTAGTACGTGATGATACCTAGCAGGAAGTATCCAATCTGTCTATATTCAGTAGAGGAGAACATACTCTTAATTTAATTCAAAGTTTAGAAAATTGACATGGAGGACCTCAGAGCTACTTTTGTATTTGGAAAGTGCCTTAGAGCAAATATTGTACAGTACCGTATTTGTCACTAAATAAATACTACAGTACTGTACTCAACTAGTATGCGATGATGCCTAGCAGGAAGTACCTAATACTTATTAGCTTAACATAAATGAATTTTAAAATAATAAAGTACCTAATCTGTCTGCATTCAGTAGAGGAGAACATACTCTTAATTCAATTCAAAGTTTAGAAAATTAACGTCAGCTTCAGCTTTTCTTAATTGTTTGTGAAGTTTTTCTAGTCTTCTGCTATCTTGTTTACAAACATCACTGTTTTGCTGTGCAAATCATGGATGATGGAACCAAAATCGTCAAGAAACCAAAAGCAACATGAATTCAAGAGCAATAAACCAAGATTTAATTAAAGAAGAGTCAGACATGTTTCTTCTGTATCACACGGTTATCATCAGTGATCAAAATAAAACATAACAAAAGAACCTTCACTACTTATACTATACGTAATGGTAGATTGATCTGCAGGTGGTTTGAAATTTGCCTTGACTCATAAGAAAAGTTACAACTCAAAGTTTATGCAAAATGGATTTTAAATGATAGCTTATGCTAGTCCATGTTTTAAATTAGTTTTCCAACTATTTAATTTTTTAAGCACAGTATCAAATTTCTTAAAAAAACATATATATTTACTAGACATCATTATTGTTATTAATATTAATATTCTTATTACACAGTAAAAGTAGGCTTCCATCAAACTTTCACACTTCAAAGTTTTATCAAATATTCATTTTAAAATATAATTTTAAGAGATAACATAAGTTAATTTTCAGTGGAACAAATTGTAACATCCAGCTTTTATGAATTTACATAAACATTTGAATACAAAATTCATTGTTTATTAATAATATGCAAAGTATGTGAGCATAGTATTTTTCTGTTATTGGCTAGGGAAATATAATGATAAATGGTTCAATATTGATTGAGCGCATTTTGTTAAAAAGCAGCCTCATGATCTTAACAGAAATAAAAATCTGGAATTAATTAAAATATAAATTAAAAGATGCGTTTTGAGTTGTTTGAATACAGAAGGATTCTTAGACACCACAATGTATATTTCGGCTTTATTAAAGCCAGGCTCCGGAGAAAAAATGATTTTTGATATGTTGTATAGCTGATTTTACTAAGATAAAAAAAGCATGTTTGACGAAAAACTGAGGGAAAAAGGGGTGAAACCACCCCTTTTCCACCTTTTTCCTCTGTGTTTGAGAGCTCAAATAACTCTAGGTAGCATCGTTCATTTTGTGAAGCTTTTTTTGCCAACGTCAGTAGTACATATTTTTTGGGAAAATTACACCACGAGGAGTCTATGCTTTTACTGCAAGCGTATAAGGAGCAATTCTAGTTTTTAGTTCTCGAGCTTGTGCTTCATAATATATATGAAATTAGGAACCCAAACATAATTTTAAATTTCTGTCAATCAAATCTTTTCCACTTTTTTAATTACACATATGCACGACTTCAAGTAAGGATGATGAGATATACTCATAATATGAGTGCAAAAAAAGTGACTCAATATTATTGCATGTTATTAGCTGCTGTTTTTTTTTTATTTACCTTTTCAGGAAAAAGAGGAGCGATCAAAGTTGGGTACGAAAACAAGGAATAGAAACAGAAGGAAAAAAGCAAGATGACAGACCTAGTTACAGTTGTACCCCTCTTTCATACTGTCCCTTTATGGCAAGATGGCGAAAGCTAAATATTGAAGATTGTTGCGATTATGTTTATGATCAAATTATAATTAATCAAACATTAATTATCATTTTGGTTTGTAGATACACATTTATTACAAAATTACCAACAAAAAATACAGATAGTAGTTAGTATACTAAAGTAATATTGTTTTTATTGAGTTAAGTTTATTAAGGAATTTGCTTTTTAATATAGAGTACCACAGTCGTGCCGTCACAACGCCAGGTTGCGCCCTCTGTTGCCAACCAGACGTTGGCTACCGTTCATTACGCCTGAATGACTTCATAGGTTTTCTGGAATAGGCATTTTAAAATCTAATATTTTATCATCAAAATGTACTAAAAACACAAAAGCTCGCATTATATTAGTTTTCAAACACACATTTAATCATCAATTAAAATTTACAAAGAAAAACTAAGATACAACATCTTAAAAATTACATTAGAAATTGGAATAAATTTTTTGTCAGTGGAGAAAATGGCGTCCAGTTGAACGCATTTTGCAACGATAGCAATGGTGTAGTATCACATGGTATCGTGACATAACACTGTAGTACTCTATTCGCCCATTGCCATAAATGGGATGGATGTTCACTTATTCTTAACCCCTGTCCAGACCATCAAATTGTATCTGACAAAAACATGCCTAAATATGGTCATAATGACATGACATCATGACCATATATAGGCACATCATGACCATACATAAGCACATCATGACCATATATAGGCACATCATGACCATATATATGCATATCATGACCATATATAGGTACATCATGACCATATATAGGCACATCATGACCATATATAGGCACATCATGACCATATATAGGCATACATTAGTCCTTTGTCAAAGAATATTTTGATAGTCTGGACCAAGCTTTTTCTTCCAAATTGAAGCCTTTAATAAAAGACATGTACAATGTGTAACTTAATTCAAGTATGGATGATAATTATTTATAATGATTTAGATATTATATTTTTATTATCTTGCATTGTTTAGCATCTCATTTCTTAGATGATGAAGAAGATCATTATATAACCTATTATATAATTGATTTAACTTCATATATTGTCTACAGGGTGGCTCTTACATAAAATATGTTTGTAGTGTCCCTGTCATTAAAATACAGTACAATTAACAACATATATAAAACTATATACAGTGTATAAGCTTAAGCTTAACAAAATCGAATATGATATTAAATAAGTGCCCAATGTATAACAAAAATATAACTACAGTAGAACCTCTATTAAAGGGACACCTTCAGGACAAAAAAGAGAGTCCCCTTAATAGGGATGACCACTGAATAGGGGTTGACCATAGTGTTAAAATATTACTATCCTTTTATATGTGCCTGAAAAAATTCTCCCCTTAATAGGGGTGTCTTTAGAATTGGGGTTCTACTGTAATTTGAAAAATGGGTTATATAATGGCGAAGGGGGCCAGTATGTAAAGGAGCCGAGTTTGTAGGGGGCGACTTTGACAAAGGGCGAGTTTTTGCAAGAGGAGTTTGCAAGGGGGAAAGTTGTAAGGAGTGACTTTAGGGGAAATCTTGCCCAATTCAATTAAAAATACTGTAATGTACAATAGACAAATGTTAGTTCCATAGAAATTCTTTTGGTAATCTGCAACACTGGCCCCTGTGTCCCCATTTTTTCAAAAGTCCTGGGGCTGCCCTGTATAATGTACCAAAACATCATTTAAATGAATTTGGTAGAACACTTCCATTGGAGTACACTCCAACGTACAATAATATAACTATTATATTTTATTATGTTTGAATTATTCTATTCAGTAATGAAAATACCAGTTGTAAATGTTTACATGTCTTATTTTAAATGCTCATTTTGATAGAACTAGTTCTATTTATGTCTTTTTAAAAATTTTTCTTTAAATTATGGTGTTAGATGAATAATTGTTATACTGTATAATAAATGATTTTTAAGTCATTTTTTCAAATCCTCTAAATGTAAAATTAAGAGTTTTAATCAGAAATTGTTTTTTCTTATCAATCTGGAGAATGTACGCTTTCAAAGCAAATTTTATGAAATTAATAATTGTTGAAATTTTCTATATATGTTATATATTTTCCTCTGTAGATAAAGTATAATAATTTATGTATATTGGCTAAAGTGATTTGCTTACAAAATTTTATGTTTAAAAAAAATTTGTGTTGGTGTATTGAATTTGTATTTGATCAACACGCACTCTTGATAATTTGTTTAAAGCATGTTTGCCATGAAAATCTAACTTCACTGAACTTGTATAAAATGGGATAATTTGCCATTTCTGGCAATTTGGGAATGTAGTTTATTTCTTCGTCTGTAAATCAAATGCCTGGATGATGCTGGGCAGTTTTATCTGTAAAGTTTAAACTAAGATTTGTTCAAAGAGGATTTTAGACTAAACTACTAAGGATACATTTTAATTAGAATACTGTTAATATCTTGTATCTATGGTGATGTTTATTTTGTTCTTAATATAAGAAATAATTTATACAGGGAATCACAATATTTTTCTTCATCATGAATACTTGTTTTGATAAGTGTTGATGGTAGATGAGCTGAACATGTACTTCTCAGTTTTTAAGTAATGTTTACTACATTTTATGTGTAGTTATCTGCAGAATGCATTCTGTATTTGATTGAAAAATGTATTTTATTATAAATGGAGTTAAGATTGAAATCTTGCACCATATTGTATTCAGCAATTAGGCCACATAAATATAAAAAAACACAGTTTCTTGTTTTAGTTTTATGGGGAAAAGAAGAGGCCTTATCACACAGTGACATTATCTAGGTTTTTGTTAGACAAACATGGATAATTGTTACCTTTCGAGGATGTTTTAATGGTTGTGTATTTTTTGTAAAAAAAAATGGGAGGAGGTGGGACAAAAATAGACAGACAATAAACATGGTTTTCTTTTAATTTGGCCTATTGCTGCACTTATTGGCAGGAAGAACAGCAAGAAGTTATTTAAAGTCCACATTTAACCTTTATTTTTGTTCTTACTAACAAAATCATGATTACGCAAATAAATATAATAATATTAATATTACACTATATTTATTAAAATAAAGTAATATAATATTATAAATCATGTACATTACTACGTATCTCCTTACATTCAACAGATATAATATATTTGGAAAATTTGAAAGAATCTCTCAAATAATTGAGTACTATTAAATTGGTACTGTATGTTTAAAAGTTGTCTTGTGACTGATGATGTCATTCATGACGTTAGACATAAGTGCACCCAAGAACAGCTGCTTGTTGCACATGAATAGAAAAATGAATCGCGTTGCATCAAGAGTGGAGAATTTTCCGAGATTATACAATGAACCTTTCTTGCTAAGCCCCGCCCCTTGGATATTGTTGCTAAGGTCCCACAAGACGTCGACCTGTGTGTTAAAACATAACGCGAACACGTGCGTTTGTGGGACAACACGTGTGCTTGTTGGACACGCGCGTGTTCCTGGCACAGTTCTAATTGGTCAGTTGTTAAGTTGATTGACACTTCGGAAAAATCCATTCACTGAAGCTATTCACAGGCTATTTTAAGTAAATTCACATTATCAGAGTTTGAAGCGTTTTGGCTTCTACGATCATTTTATCTCAATGCCAAATTATGTCATTTGGTTGTTGTTTTTTGTTGTTGTTTTTTTTTTTTTTTTTAGATCATGGTTTTATTTAAGGCGTTGTTTTTATAGGAATATTGAATCCCAACTTATTACAACTGCATCATATGCGAATTGGTTTATGTGTCACAAAATACACTATCTTACCTTTGCATAATGGGATAAAGTATATCTAATGGATTATTGCGACAAATCGCAGTTCATTTTTGAAAGAGCTTTGAAATGTTGTAAAGAGAAGTAATATTTATTAATGATTGAAATAATAAAATAAGTTCTTTCAATATAATGTTTCTGTCTGTTCATTGTGATGTTAAATTAGAATTTGTGTAATTGAAAACGTTATTGAACATGACTTTCCCAAAGGATTCGACGTTCCCAAAGGATTCGACGTGACGGCTCTGGATCAGGGTTTATATAGAACAGGGAATTGGATACGAGGTTGGAAGGACATTTAATAATGAAAGAAGTTAGGGGTAATTAGCGTTATGTCTTTAGGAGGAGGGGGAATCCCTTGGTAGTGGGCGAAGCATTAAATTAAGCAACGCGTTGTCAACAAACGCTTACAAACAACACGCATATCATTATGAAGGCCTTTTACGTAATTTAGCCCGTGCATTCATAAAAGTTTGGACGAATTTTACACATTGAAAGAACCAAAGCTAATCAAAAATGACCTTTTATGACCACAATTCCGTCGGTAATCGTGTTTTTATCCTTGTAGATATTATTTATCATAGAATAAGTAAACTACGACCGAATAAAAATATAATCCATAAACATCTTTCTAAATCAATGTACAAAAGTATATTAAATAAATACATAATATAAGAAATATAATGGAATGATAAGCTACAGTATCTAAATATGAAATTTATAAAAAAAAACCCAAAAAAAAAACATAAATAGCCTATAGAAAGAGAGGCACCATGTACTGTACTCAGGTCATAACGAAGGTCTGACTCAATACAACGTGGTGATTAAAAATGGACACAAACATTGATAACATACAACCCGGATGCTCAGTGTATAGGCCTACAGGTCGGCTGTACATTGAATTCTTTTTCTTCAAATTTAGAGAAACAACAAAGCCACAATAAATCAATCTCTCAAATAAAGAAATCTCTAGTCTAGATTCTAGAACTTAAGTGCCTGAATTCGGTATTAAGTTCATCTTTTATCCATTTTTCGATCTTGTATTTTTCGGGTCGGTTATACTAGCCATTGTGTGGATCCAGGAATTTGAATGTAGAGGGGTTCAAAGGATAGGAGTCTAAACAACCTAGCCCCACCCTCACCATGGTTGGGGCTGAGGTTAAGAAAATAAGATCCGAAATCAATCAAACAATCGGACAGTAATCAACTAACCAACCAATCAATCGGTCGATGGAATTATATTGCGCCAGATCTTGAAGACTCCTTATCTTTTTTTTTTCTATTACAATTGTTTTTGATTCAGTTGTTATAATGTTGAATGTTCTTACACAGGCCGGCACCTTGTGATAGCCATGCCGAGTTTACAGCAAAAAAAAATCATCTTTCAAGGGCCCTACGTCATCCTATAGACCTATATTGTTTGAATGCTTTTATTATTATAATATGATAGGCCTAATTAGTAAAAAAAAATCAAACTTAAACAGCATTTTTGAGCTGTTTAAGTGCGATTGAAATTATTAAGACCTTATTTTGTTGTTATTTTTGTAGTTAGGATTATTGTTTATTACTGTTGTTGTCCTTAATCATTATAAAATAATGACAATTTTATTGTTAAATATTTTTTATTGTTGTCATTATATAATAATAATACAACAAAAATAATAATAATAATAATAATAATAATAATAATAATAGCCTAAAATAATAATTAATTTTATTTAAAAAATGTAACTAGGCGAGTATTACAATATTTTTACATTTTCACGGTTTAAATATGCATACAAATTTATTGGTTCACCTATTGTCATAAAAATTAAGTATTCCTACAGTATGTGGCACTCTCGGAATCGGATGATACAAAACAAGGGCCTGACATGAATTAATAATAGCAACACTACGTAACATGCGTATACTCAGTGAGGTCAGCTACCTTTAGCCTAATTTCAGATACAGTACTACTTCATAAAAGTAACATAACATCCTGTGACTACGCTGGGAATTTGGATTAAAACGATAAAACAACAGCTTTATTATAATTGTATTTGTTTTGTTTCATTACATACTCGATACAAACTTTTGGTACCCATGTCGTTCACCAATTTTATCCGCATTATGAAAGCATTCGATTCATTGATCATTTTGTGAAAGCAAGAAAAGAGCTGCGCGCGCATCTGGGAGGTTACTGCCGCAAAGGATCGTGGTACTGTGGTGAATAGTGTCCGCCATATTTTTTGGTTGAAATGAAAGGATCGAACATTTTCAAAATCGTTTTTCAAGGATTTTACCAAAAGTGATAGGACACTTGTAGTATAATCATGAAGTAGATAACATTATTTATCTATTTTTGCTACCTTTCGCCGAAGAAAATTCGGTTGAAGACGGGAAACAAAGACATTCCCGTCTGAATCGTACGGGGTCACGGGAGAGTAGCGCGTGCTCATTGGATCAACATGAGTAAGCTATCGTTCAGGGCTCGTGCCCTGGATGCCTCAAAACCCATGCCAATTTATAAATCTGAGGAGCTACCAGATTTACCCGATTTTTCGGCTATCAATCGAGCAGTTCCTCAAATGCCATCTGGTATGGAAAAAGAGGAAGAATCGGTAAGTTTATTTCTACCCCAATTACCTGGATAATTTATGCATACGTAATATATTTGGGCGGCCATTTTGTTTGATGGACAGCTGTTTTTGGCGCGAGTACAAACCGATAATATATTTTTGTCAAATTGTAATATGTTTTCAAGATAATATTCACCTTTTATATATTATTAATAAAGTAATATTTTCATACCATACTTTATGAACTGACTGTGCCAAAAATACAGAAGTCCATTGAATTAGGGGCGGGTCACGTGATGGTTTGAACGGCGTAATGCTAGGCTAGGCGGAGGCCTCGGTCAAATATTGGATAGGCCTAGACTAGCCTAATGTACTTTCAAATAACGATAATTTTTATATTGTTGTATTTTACTACTATTAGGATACATCCTTCTAAGTTATATTGTTGTAAATGAATCTTACTAAGCAACTTAATTTTGTAAACATCATTGATGATTTTACGATTTTGAATTCAGTATCCCATAATAGTATCGTTTTACTATGAAATTGACAAAAGAGGGCGCCAATTGCGGAAGTACCAAAAGACATGCTTATGTGTTATGAATAATAATCACAACAATGTGGTTGAAATAATGATATTTTTGAAATTAATTTTATATTTTTCTTTCTGTTTATCCATACTGTAATGTATAACAATTTTTTTTTTATACTTTGAATTAAGAGTGGTTTGATTGAAATAGATTTTTATCAAAATGGTTAATTACAGTAGGTCTATATCCCAGTCAGATGGCTCAAAAATGATTTTAAACAATTTGCTATGGGGTACCAAATTCTTAGCATACACATGATGTCAATTGTAACTGTAAAATCCCCCTCCCCCCCCAAAAAAAAAAAAAAACAACAGCTCTACAAACACAGTTTGTTCGTTTGACATTTTGTTGATTATGGATTTTGATTGATGGTTGATGTTTAATGGGTCCATGATTGATTGTGATTTTTAATTCCAATTTTGAATCAGAAATTTTGGCTGGGTCACGAGTTATGCAGTGTCTGTGCCAACATGTCCCTTATCCGGTTAACCCTCATTTCATGCGAGAGTTAATGCAGGAGCTGGGCAACCAACACCCAACTCTAGCCGGCATTTGATGATGATGATTATGATTGATGATTATGTTGAATGATCGATTGATTATGATGCTTGTGATGAGTAATTATGATTATTGATTAATATGATGATGATTAGGATGATGATGATTGATTATTATTGATTATGATGAATGATCAATTGATTGTGATAGTTGATGATTCTGATGAGTAATTATGATTATTGATTAATATGATGATGATTGGGATGATGATTATTATTGATTATGATGAGATGATGATGACGATGAAGAATGATCAGTTGATTATGATGGTTGGTTATTATGATGATTCTGATGAGTAATTATTATTATGATTATTGATTAATATTATGATGATTAGAATGATGATTGATTATTATTGATTATAATGATTATGATGACGATTAAAGATTATTATAATCATTGATTATGATTGGGTTCATGATGATTAAATATGATTTGAATATGATGATGATTGAATGATAATGGAGATTATAAAACAAGTTATTTTAAGAATAGAAATTGAAAATAAATGGACCATATTGTATTATTTTAAATTTTGAAATTTATCATGATGGTGAGGACATACGGATCAGTGATTTTGTTTATCTTTTGTATGAATGAATGGTTGAAATGGTAATCAATTTATTTGTTTTGTTTAAAATAGGAACATCATTTACAGAGGGCTATTTCTGCACAGCAAGTATACGGTTCAGCCAATCATTTGGTTATTCCTACACCGGATTGTAAATTCATTAACAAGGAAAATTATGAACAAGTCTACGAGGGTACATTTAAGCAACCAAGGCAGTATATCCATGTGCAAAGTAAGCAATAATCCTGTATTCTATCGCATTTTGATACCTTTTTCAAATTCTCTATTGTAAGAATACCTCCCAGAATATCAAATAAAAATTATTTTAAAAAATTAAAATTATTTTTAATGTTATATAATAAATTGTATAGCAATGCCAATGATCACCATAACCTTCTTTATGTTTATAATACATCCTCCAATGAAGACCCCTCCAATTAATGACCACTTCCAATTAATGACCACCTCCAATTAAAGAACTTGTCTCTGGACCCTGGATCTTTAACCAATCTTTTATTAACTTTATAATGAACATTTTTATAATTAAAGATCAAAACTGCTTATGACCATGAAAACCTTGGTCCCTAAGTTTGTCTTTAATTGTTGGGAGGCCTGTAATTTTAATTTGATGTATTATATTTATATTATGCTGAGAACAGAGATTTTCAGATAATTGAGATTCCAAATTTTTTTTTTCAGCATTTGGTATGGAACAAGAAACTCCGGACTACGATATGGATTCAGATGATGAAGAATGGGTTAAGAAACAAGCCAAGACATTTGACATCACTTCACATCAGTTTGAAGAGATGATGGACCGGCTTGAGAAGGGCAGTGGGCAAACGGTCAGTATTAAATTTACTGTTGAGCCAATCTTGTGTAGTTGTTATATAATTTGTTACACAATTAGAAATCTAAAATACAATGGACCATTGTGGAGTGTCAGTAAAACGTTTTATAACACACCTAAATACAGTAGATCCATGTCATTTGATTGGTTGATTTTGTATCATGTGACATTGGTTATTTACCCCATTTCGTCACTTATGGAATTATAGTTCCACCGTGCATTTTTACTTCCATCTGTGCATTTTCGTTCTTTCTGTTTTGCTTGATTGCACGGTGCCTAGGATATGACTTTCAACTTATAGTCTTTTGACTGATTAAAAAGACGCTGGACTGTTTCATTTAGAAAAAGGGTACATTTTTTTCATGAAATATTAAATGACAAGAATCTCCATTCAGAAAAAAAGGTAGATTTCTTTTTTATAAAATATCAAATGACAGGGATCTATTTTAGGTGTGTTATAAAACAAGTAATGAATGTTTTTTATTCGCGCAATGGAAAAAATATTTTCATGCGTTAAAAAATTGACTGTTCCATTTGACTCGGTTCCACCTCGTCAAATGGAACAGCCAATCTTTCAACTTATGAAAATATTCTACCATTGCACTCATAAATATTTATTATTTGTATAACAACTCGTCATCAATCATCAAAACATGTTATTCACTGATCAGGTCTAGGAATGCATGAACACTCTATACAAATTACTGTTGTCTTGTGAGACCTTACCAACAGTATCCAGACAGGCATTGCTTTGAACAATGGTCCTAATTCATGAATAACTTAAGACCTGTGCTTACTATCAAAAACATGTGACCTGTCTAAATATGGTCATGATGACATCACATCATGACCATATACAGGTACATCATGACTACTGGATATGGGCATACAACAGTATTTTTTTTTTTTTTTTTTTAAAACAGTTTTTTTTTTTTTTTTTTTTTTTGGGCAGGTTGTGAATCTGAAAGAAGCAAAACTACTACTAAAAGAAGATGATGACCTTATCATTGCAGTCTATGATTATTGGTTGAATAAAAGATTGAGTACAGTAAGTTCCCATATCAACTTCATTTTAATATCCACATACATACTGAAATCTAGGCATTTATTTTATTTCATTCAATTATTCAGACAAGTGCCTTGGACCCCAAAAGCAACAAAGTCACCAAGAAAAAAGTTTGGAGCCCCAGTAAACTAAACTTAACTACATGCTAAAGCTATAAGAATATAAGTTAAAAAAAATATATAAACTTAAAAGGTCAAGATAAATTAAAATAATTCTATATCAAATGATGAACGATACTGTTCATTAAGCACTTAATAAGTCTTCAATGCAATTCGGATGTACAGATTAAATTTTGGCATCATATGTCATATATTTCTGCGTAATAATAATAATGCATCAACATAGAGTTGATTGGTGCTGTTGTTTGGTGCCTGAGTTAATTACTTCCTATCTCAGGGTCATGGGTTCAAATCTTGTAAAATGCAGGGTGTTTTTTTTTTTTTTTGTAATTGAGGGCCTCTTTGAGTCAGCTTCGCTGTAAGAGGCCCCTCATAAAATATTGTTTAATAAATGAATAAATAAAGTAAATAAAATAACTCTCAATTGTTCCATGCTTTAATTAGTGAATTTGTATATAGCTTTGTCCACACTGTCATATCTTATGTGGTAATGATGATGTCATAATTAACAACAAATATGAGCATATTTGTCACATAAAGTTTGATAGTGTAATGAGGGCTTTATATTTGTAAGAATAGACGAGCACATGCCTTGGTTCTGGAGGTGGAACAAGTCGTCTTGTATAAGGACTATAAACTGTACAGTAGGCCCACTCTACACAATAGGCTCATGTGCACTATAAAGAACCCAGTACATCTTTTAAGACGAGTAGGGGGTTACCCTGGTGTATTGGTCCATACAGCCCTTGTTGTGGACAGACTAGAGTAGCTGGTACCGGATTACCGTCCAGCTCAGACACGAAGAGACCCTTGGGGGCGAAGAAAGTTAACAGTATGAGCTACTGATGTCCATGCTATGAGCGCTCTAACCTTCATGATATAGCGCTATATAAATGATGTTATGTATTAATAATTTTATTTTTAATAATCTAATTATTTTCTAACTCAACCACAACTTCATTCTTTCCATGGCTGTAGACAAGTCTAATACAATATACTATATGTGCAAATTCTGTGTAAAATTATTGACTGCATTAAGACTTCACATGTGGTATAATGCTTATTTTTAAAACAGGGTCATGGTTTAATACCTACTGTGAAACAGGAAAAGCGAGATGGCTCAACAACTAGTAACCCTTACGTGGCGTTCAGGAGGCGGACGGAGAAAATGCAGACAAGGAAGAATCGCAAAAATGATGAAGCATCGTACGAGAAAATGTTAAAACTTCGGAGAGATTTAAATAGAGCTGTGTAAGTTAACAATACCAATTTAAATGATGTATGATGTTTAAATTGAATATTAATTTCTCAGTCATCTACCACTTGCAAAAAGCAGCCGTTTTTTAAATTTTTTTTTTTTCTAACAATGCTTGTACTTTTACTTATTTTTCAAATTTTATATTTTTATCGTGTTCATAACATAATTCACAGGGACAAGGAGTGATTTTGGGTATTGCCTGGATGCTTTCATCTGCTCTATCATGAAGGCCTCAAAATGAGAATGGAGATATTATTGAATGGAAATATTATTTTCTGCCTTTGCATTATATACTATTATTAATTTTCATCTTTTGTTTCTCTCCAGAACCTTACTTGAAATGGTAAAAAGAAGAGAGAAGTACAAAAAGGAAAAACTACATTTAACAATAGAGGTATTTGAAAAACGGTAAGCATTAAAAATGTAGTTTTACAGCATACAGGTCTGGAGAAAAAAGGGGGCTGCAGAAAAAGTGGTGTTTTATTGAAGGTGGTTTTTAATTAGAGGTAGACCTGTATTTGGAAGATTTGTTTTTCTTTTCAATACATATATTATGATTATAAATCCAGTATTGATTCCTTGTATTGATTAGTAGTCCAGTAGTTATTCCTTGTGGTTATTGTCTTTATATGATGGTGTTCGCATAAATGCAAAAGTAAAGATGTTTTATTTGCAAATTCTTTTGTTAGGTACACTACTCAGGACTTCAGTGGCGAATTGTTACGTGAATGCGAAGAATTGGCCAAGAAACAACCATCCTACTCAATCCCTATTATACCTAATGGCAACCACTACAAGTCATGGGGTCAAACAGTATGTACAGTATATATAAAATTAAAAATTATGTAACATAATGTTGTTTTTTTAAAAATAAATATCAAGTCTGCAAGAGTGTTCAATAATTTGAATATTTTCTGTATTTTAAATTAAAACAAAATGAAAATAAAATGAATTTAATGAAATTTACTAATAGGAGGATGGTGTGAGGAAGAAACGCGAATATAAGAAACGCAAGCATAAAGTGAGTACGGACAAGCAGAGACAACGTAACATGTTACCGATGTTCAATGATCTAGACCCACGATTCCGTGACTACCGACTATCTGATGAAGATATTTCTCCAGTAAGTATACAAACAGCAATAAAAAAAAATCCTACACTATTTTCTGAATTTATTTCTTTATTATTTATTTAGTTAAATAGTTACAAAACAATACACAGCATACATTTAAATAAAAAATAAATACAGTTCGCCCTCCAATTCGAGACCACTTTGAGACCTGAAAATTTGGGTTAGTCTCGGGGGTTTGGTCTCTATATAGAGAGTTAGCTTTGCGTTAAAGTATTTACAAATGTTATTTGGTTCTTTAAAAAATTGGTCTCGAATTAGAGGGGTCTTGAGTTGGAGAGTGCAGTGTAGTAGTTCCTAGGAAGATACAATAGAAGCAAAGCCACTGTCATCAGCAGTGATATGAACCTTCACCTACTTATTGCCTTACAAATAGATTAAAAATAATTTTTTTTTTGTTGAAAAAAATATTCGAATACTGATGGGTTTTAGTTATTGGGTTGACAGCACATGATGACAAAATGCACAAAATATTGTTCATATCTAACATAAAATATTTTTCCTATCATATTTTTTAAATATGTTGAAACACATGTATTTGCTCATAATTTCTTTTGTCATTGACCATAAAATACAAAGTGCATGATTCTGTACAATAGAAAAATGGTGATAATAAATTTATTATCTCTATAGTAGAGATATTTCTCCATACCAATGATATATTGTGTGATTTAAAAGAAAAAAGTGACTACATCTGACCCTAACAATTCTATGACATTATATAAATGCAACAATTTAGAATTATTAAACACAGCCATTCTCCACTACTATACTAAGTACAGTATAAACAATAAAGTTTTATTTTCGAAATTTCAGGTGCAATCAATTTCTGATCAGGAAGAGGAGAACGATCCTGATGGTCCCTTTGCCTTCAGACGAAGGAAGGGCTGCAATTATCATGCGGTACGGTCATTTATAACGTTAATTTATTTATGTATTTTTTGGTTAATTTGCAAAAAAATCTTACAAAAAATGTTTAAATTGCCATTAATCACATGGTATTCTTTACCGTCTTTTATAGAAATTTGTTCAAGACTAATTTTCAAAACATGAATAAAATTTAATCAATTCACTTTCCCTTAACAAATGTAAAATTATTGTGTAACCTAATTATGTCTTTTTTCTATTTATAGCCTCATCCACGTCTTGTGTCAGGTTGGCCATGGTCAAATCAACATATCAAAGACATATCAGATAAACGATACCGCTACTGTTGTACCTCACTAAAAGTCAAAGATACTAGTAAATGTATTGGTTTTGCGAGAAGAAGAATGGGCAGGGGAGGAAGGTATGTTACAAGTTTTGAAATACTGTAAATGATCCACAAGTGTCACTGATCTTAGGATTATACTTTTCCATGTGTTTTTTTTTTCCCAGAATCGTGCTTGACAGAGCATATACAGGAGTTGACGATCAGCTTCGGAAAATGGATACATCTGTTTTCAACCCTGAAATTAAACAACCATCATCTTGGCAACAGTCCGTGTCATTAAGCACTCATTCACTTGATGATAGAGGGCGGTATAGGGGAGCATCGCAATCAAGTACTTGGCCGTCCCCAACAGAAAGTCTTCCACCTTTAGAAAGGATAATAGCAGATATACGAGCAAGCAGAATGTAAGATTACTTGCATGTTTTTTGTAACCATGTGAAGGGGCGTAGGCTGATTTTTTGCCTGGGAGGGGATGTGAAACGGCCTGGGGATGCGAAAATTGAATTGAAACTAAATCCGTATTCCAATGAAAAATTAATGGTCATTTTGTAGTATTTTAACCCATCCAGTGGAACTAATTTGCCGCCATGGTGGTGGTTTGGTGGGGGGAGGGGTGTGCCTTTTATTACAAAATTTCTTTATTCATTTATTTACAGGACTACATTCGTTGAGAGCTCATCTTCCTAATTTTGTTTGGAGTGTTAGAGAAGCAATACATAGCTATTTCCTTCTGCGTTTGGGGACATATACTAGAGTGCCAACTCCAGGAGTGGTAACTCCAAGATGGTTGACTTTAAGACCTGTCTCTTATACACATCTAGATGTGTATAAGAGACAGGATATACAGTGGTCCACTTCAATGGATAATGTGATGCTATATAAACTCATGAAATTAGGGACTGACTTGTGAGAAAAAAATCTTTCACAGGATTAGAAACAGACACCAATAGTAATTTAATGATCGAAGGCTTAGATTACGTATATGGTTATCCAACGTGATAACATTCTTTCTCATTGAATCATCACTCTCCATGTGTTTGTATTACCCCTTTTATTATCTAGTATTGACAATTCATGGACAACCATTATTTTTTATGTAGACATTTTGCAATTGTGTTTTGCACACTGTCATTTTACTATCTGTTTAACACCCACAATGAATGCTGTGTTTTGTATATTCCCTTTTCATCATCAAATCTACACCTCCCGCTGACTTATAGATTTCCTCTTTTGATTGTTTAACCTAATCCACTTACAATGTTTTTTTATTTTGCCTTAATCTCACTGTATTGATTATAAATTTTAAATACATTGATTAAGTTGGCTTTTAAAGCAATCCTCAGTCCCTGTTTTATGCTACTGCATTTTTTATTTTATGTCAAACCTTTTTGAAGTTATTGTATGTTATTATTGTTTGTGTCTGGAAATAAATAAAATAAAATAAAAATAATAGTAATTGCTAATATTGACAATTACAAATGCTGTCTAAAAAAAATACCCTTCCAATATAATGTAAATGTTCTTCAGTGTTTGTGAACTGTTTTAGATTTAATGTAGTTTTGTGTTTACAAATTTGCAGTTTATTTTAAGGTGTGTTAAGTGATCTTGAGATAACACAGACAACAATGGTTTCTTATTGTTATCATGTACAAAAGCCATATTGAAGATATCCTGTTTGTGGTTAATCTGGAAAACCAATCAAATTTAAGTTTGCGAGAATGAAATAATTTATTCCAATGAAAAATGATTGCAGAAAATTTACTTTTTCATTAATTACAGACATTTTACTATTGAGAATTATTTTTGCATCAGTTTTGTCAAAAAATTATTGTTTTTTTAATATCCACTTTAATATTCATTTAAACACCAAGTAGGTCATTTAAAAGGGTCAAGTAAGTTTTAACTTTTCAATGAAGCCTACTACTGTACTTCAGACCAATTAAGTTTTCACTATTTTATTAACCTTACTACACAAGTCCTTAAATTGATGCAAAGAAATATAGAAACTGAAATATTTATTATACATAATCGGCAAGAAAAATATTAATCATCGTAATTTATTAATGAAACTTAAATTTAACCTAGATACTGTAATAGCTAAGCAATTCAAATATTAAATCGTATTTAATTTTCTTTTATTATTATGTAATATTTAGTTTCTATTATTTTATCACAGATTGTGAAGATTATTATTATATATTTCTTTTTTAGGCCTCATTATAGACCAAAGACACCACCTCCTAAGGAGGTACTCAACCTAGATCCTCCAAAGCCTACTGTTTTGGAAGATAATTTACTAACAAATTTCTTGACGCAAGCATCAAGCAAACCTCCGCAGCAGATTCTCTCAGATATGGACACGTGTGAGGAGTTAGCATCAACACTTTCGAAAGACAAAGTGATTACCGATGTTGATTCACAGACAATAGAAGTAGATGTAGGGAGTCCGACATCTTACAATATGAACGGATGTTTTTCAACACTTCCTACATCTAAATTCACATTGGAACCTAGCAGTTGTGCGAATTCGGTTACAGTACCAGTTGTTGAGCAGGTGCCGCTACTGGTTCAACCGGAGAGCTCATTAAATTCACGAACTTCAAATGAAATTGAAAATAAAAATAATAGTCGAGTTACACTTGAACCTGTAGTAGAGGTTACTGGACGAGGTGAGTAAGGTTTTGTTTTAACTAAGTTGTAGAGCATTTACATGCTCGCCAGGATGACATTTAGCATTTATAGATACAACAAAAAAAGTATCCATCTTCCTAATTCTGTTTGGAGTGTTAGAGAAGCAATACATAGCTATTTCCTTCTGTGTTTGGGGACATATACTAGAGTGCCAACTCTAGGAGTGGTAACTCCAAGATGGTTGACTTTAAGACTGCTAAACCTAAGAGCGCTAAATCTAAGCCGAGCACAAACTGTGCCGACGGTCATCTGCCGATTTGTTTCCTTGGAGAACAAAACAAGACAAGGTGCGCAACTCATCATTTTAATGACGATCCCCTCGGTCTGTCACCGACAATAGCAGACAGCGTCGCATTGTCAAACGCTCACAAGAAAGAATAGATGGATTAGTCATACAATGCAGTGTGTGCCTGCTTAAGAGCTTTAATAAAAGTGTTAACACTAAGGGCGCCAACGCCGATAGTACAAACACCAACAGTGATAATGCCAACAGTGTTAACAACAAGTGTTTTTTCTATGCGTAATATATCCCATCATTTTTTATCCTTTTAATTTCTTTCAACCCACAACTCATTATTTGCAAATTCTATAGCTATTATCTTTAGTTATTTTGATTTAATTTTTTTTTAAGGTGAACGTAAATTATTAGTCAAACATTTATTGTTTATTTCTTTTCTTTTAAATTTGTCCAGGTCCTATATTAGCAACCCAAGGCCATTCCACTGCACCGGCTGCTACTGTATTACAACTGAATTATCCGTTACCGACGGCTGTAAAAATTCCCCAACATTCAAATCAGCATATCACCTCAGAATCAAAACACACGGTCACCAGCAGTGGCACTAACAGCCTAGTGAACAATTCCATAGAGTTGACATCAAAAACAAAGACAAATAATGATAGTATCGCTGACGAGGCTATTAAACCGGGCCTTAACTTAAAGATGGTGTCCTCGGTAAACTCAATTGTAAATAAGCCACAATCTATGCCATCTTCAACGGTTGTCAGGTTCACGTCTTCATCAAGTAAAATTGGCAGTCTGTCAAGGTGAGATGATTGGGCTACAAGATTTCAATCAAATTGTGATTTCATATAATCTTAAGGCAAGCCTTATGAGTTGTTAATAACAGACATTCCCTTTTTTCTTTCATCATTGCACATCATACAATAAATATGAAACATATTAATAATATTGACATATTTGAGATTTATAAATAGTGGGCTGTATATGATTTTTTCAGATTTGCCATTTTTAAAACTTCTATATGTCTTTCTTGGCATTATTTTGATATTTATTTTGATTTTTGTTATCTCCTGTTTTATTCATGTTCTTTGATTATTTGAAGCTTGAACTTTAACAGAGAGGAATCTGGTAGCGTGAGAAAAAAATTGCCCCAACAGTCAATCGAACCCGGAATCTTTTGCTGCCAATGCCAACTGGAACATAAGGGCTTCATTGGAAATTGAAATTTGATTAAAAGGAAACTAGAAAGATGATTTTTTTCTATGTCACTTAGTAGTAGATTCAACTTTAAATTTGTTTCTTGGCAATTTTTTATGAAGTTATAGGCCATTATGATTTTGCCCCTTTATCAGCGTAACGTTAGTGTAAGCTACTGTATTACCAAGATTGTGTAGCGCTGCGCACGGCGCTTTGCATTTTTCTTTGGTTTCGGTATCTTACACTAATGTCACGCTGTTAAAGGGGTATATCATAGTAACTACATTACTAATACCTACTAGAAAAAAATATTCTTCTAGTTTACTTTTAAAGCAAATAATTCCTCACTCTTTTGCATATATGTACAGCACTAGTTGTTGATGCACCTCAAATAACAGATCAATATGATATGCCCTTATCTTAAGTATTTGAATGTTGATGTATTTTTATTTCTTGGTTTGTAGTAATCATGATGGGGCTGGTGGTCTAGGGAACCCAGTAAAACAAGAAAAAGCTTTAGTAACTGAAGTAACGTGAAGGCAGAAAAGCACACACCATTCAGGCTAATGAATTCATCATTCAAATGCTCCATCGCCTCGGCCAAAATAATGATATTATTGACGTGGATCGCACTAATGTTTGCGAAACTATAGGAAAACATGATACAAGATGATGGTGTAACCCAATGCTAGCCAGAAACAAGACATCAACCGTGCTGTGAAGTCAGGTTTTTACACTCATCAGCATTCAATATTCAATTTTCTCTATTTGCCTGATTTCAAATGCGTACATAGAAAAAAATACTAAACTCATTGGTTTATCTACACATGGACTGAATTATGCTCTTCCATTTTCAGGCCTAGCTAGCAATTGGGAAGTTACCATTGAAAAGGAAATCACTTTTTGAAATATGTGTCTGCAGTAAATGAAGCTGGTTGCCATTAGTGTCAAAGGTTAAACATGCCCCTAAGTAGTAGTAATAGGTAGATAAAAATGGCCCCTCTATAGATAATATGGCTCCAAATGGTGAATGCTCATATTGTTACCAGTTAATATATTCCAAGTGGAAAATAGGTAGAAATTGTCCTACTAAATATGGTCTCTTTTTTTAAGTACAGTTGATAGAAATGTCTTAAAGTAAAAATTGCTGCATGTAGTAACTAGATAAATATATCCCCAATATATATGGCCATTGGTAAGTGAAAATGGCCCTAGGAATATGAAAGGAAAAACCAAAAAAACAATTCTTTCCATAATTTGGACAGTATTTATAGGTATTAAAACACATACTGTACAAAGCAACAGAATATGTTTTTATGAATGAGTAAATGGAAGAATGCCAGTTTATAGTTAAACCAAATGATATGGTCTAATCTAAAAGCAGTCAATTAAATGTAACAAGTGTAGCACTGTTTTACATATTTTCTTTCTAAACCAAAAATTTATTTTATACATTCATGAGAAAAAAATTTAGTGCATGGAATTAATTAATTTGTCGATGTATTACACATTAGGTTAATAAAATGATAAGAAAATAATAAACTTAAAAAATTAACCATTTCTTCTTAAATAACAGTAGATAAACAATGTAGGTTGAAATGGTGTTTTGATTTGAAATATTGAATAAATTGAATTGGCTAGTTTATCCAGTTAGTTTTGGGGATTTATAAATTATCAGATATACCATTTACTGTAGAATTAATAATGTTGTCCAAATGTGCTGTATTAAATTTATTAGATGCACTTCTTGTGATTAATGAATGTTTATGGACAAGGCATGTTTGTGACCCAAATATAAATGAATTTCAAAAATCTATTTTTAAATTAACTATAAACATTAATATACTTAAAGCATGTATCACTATAAACCAATCATGAATGTTGTTAATTATTGATTAAATAAATTTATTGTTACATTTTAGTTCTGGGGTTGCTTTTCACTCTTTTGGTGAAAACAGTAACAAAACATATTTTTTGTTTACCCAACACTTAGATCATTTTGCATGGGCCATTTTTATCTAAACTGACTTATTAGGGCAAAGTTTAATGGTCATTTTATCTACTTACTACATGCGGTCAACCTTTACCAATGCCATTTTTACTCACTTTCCACTTGGAACTGGTTTAAAGGCCATTTGGGACTTGGAGTTATTTCTGCCAGGGGCCATTTTTTAAGATTGCAAGTTAGCATTAAGGTTAAGAAATCCATGGCACCAAGTCAAGGTCACATGTTGACCTTTGGTTATTTGACCTTTGTTAATTGTCATCTGTAATAGGTTCAATTTATTTATGTTTGCTGATGTTTCCATTTTGATATCGTAATCTTGAGTTAAAAGTGTGCAATAGATTTTCTTGAAGACTCTTCCAATCTTCTTTATTTTTTTATGTGAGAACCCATTACTGACAAATGGTTTAGATTTAAAATGAATGATATAGTGATGTTCTTATAATGGCCGTTCACAGTGAAACTAATTACCAATCCAAAAAAACTTTATGTTAATGTCCGCGAATGTTAATGTGATAAAAAAAAATAGCCAGTACAGACTGGTCTTTTCCATTCTACACATTGGTTTTTTTTTTTTTGCCACCAAATTGAATAAAATGTCTAATTTTCCCCATTGAGTGAAACTTTATTTGGCTCCTATAAACATCATTGTGTACAATGAATTTACTTGCTGAAAACTTGGAACAAAACTGAACAAATTGGTTAAAAATAATTTCCTTCCAAGTTGAGCTTTGGGACAGTTTTTCAACGAAAGGTTTAAATTATATTTATTAATTACTACATGTGCATTTTTGTCTAGTTTTTCACTTTCATATTTTCCTCCAATTTCTAAAATAATTGATGACAGCTGTCAGCTTTCCATCTTAATCAATTAAAATATATGTAGATGTTTACACACAACAAAAGTTGCTAGAATGTCGTATTAGACTTTGGTTGTTGCTAAAACAATGAAAACCATATTTTGAAAGCAACAATTGTGGATTAAAACATTATATTCCAGTAGCTCTGAAATGCAAAAGCCTTTTTCATGTTACACACCACAACTATTAGTGTATCTTAGCTAGCCTTGGCTTCTGTGTGTGAACATGGGCTTAGTTTAGCAAACACTCATGTTTTTGCGGTGTTCTAAGGTCAAGAAGTTATTGTGTATACCCCTTAATAAGCTATTAGTTTTCTACAAGGTACAATACATGAATAATGTGGTTAGGGAGTCATTAAACTGCTTCAAGTTAATAGTATTTAGTAGCCTTTTGAATCTGGGCTTAGGCAGACAATGGATTTTCTCGGGGCTGTTCCAGCATCTGTAGACCTACCCATGTTCTTCTGATAAATGCTCAGTATGCAAAACGCTGTTCCAACATCTGCAGACCAAGCCACGGTTCCTCCGACGGAGGCTTGTGTCTGCAGATGTTTCCAGCATCTGTAGACTTGCACATAATTTGTCCGATGAATGCCCAGTCTGCAGGGGCAGTTCTAACATTTGCGGACTGGTGCATGATTTGCCTGATGAAGGCCCAGTCTGCAGGGGCAGTTCTAACATTTGCGGACTGGTGCGTGATTTGCCTGATGAATGATTTGTCTGGTGAAAATTCATTCTCTAGTGGCTGCTCCAGGACTGATAGATACAGTCTGCAATGTCTGTTTCAGCATCTGCAGACCGAGCTATAATTCTTTTTTTTTTTTTTTAAGGCGCTGTTTGCAGATGCTAAAACAGCCCCTGCAGACAGCACCAGAGTTAATTCCTCTTGTGAAGGCCCATCTGCAGAGGCTGTTTAAGCATCAGAATCTATTTATTATAGCTAGGACATTTATGACGGTAAAAGTGATAGCCCACTCCACTAAAATATTCTGACTATACCATTGGTCTGAGTTGAGATATCAGGCCACTAAATACTATTTCTATTATTTAATCACCTGAACAAGTCAAGGGATCTTGTCACACCAGTGTGTTAAGTAACATAAACATATAGTTGAAAGAAACAATAAAATATTAGTACCATAATATTGTTAAATTCTTTATTTTCATTATACCAAGTGCTATACATACAGGCCTATTCTGTACCTCTATTATGGTTTACAGGACAATAATTTTTTGTATTCAATTTTGCTAACATGTTTTATGGTGGGAAGTAAACATTAATCCCTCTCTGGACTAAATAATTTTGTTTGACAAACAATTTACATCACTAAATATGGTCATAATGACATCACATCATGGCCATATATAGGCACATCATGTCAATATATGGGCATACAACAGTTTTTTGTCAAAGAAAATGTAAGCTGGAGAGAACTTTATAAAAACTTCCACACAGTATTGTTACAAAGTTTACAAAAAGAACCATCCAATTCAGGTGTCCATTTCTTTTCTGATACTGCCATCACACACTTCATGATGTACTCAATATTTTTGTGATGTAATTTAATACTACTGTAGTGTATTAGGGCAGTGTGATAAATGAACCAAATAAAACAATAATAGATTATTAAACTCTATTTACACTATCAATTTTTTTTTTTGACAAAAAATAAAAAAGCCCTTGTATGCCTGTATATAGTCATGATGTGCCTATATATGGTCATCATGACTGTATTTTTATTATGACCTTATTTAGGCATGCTTTTGTCAATAAAATTTGAAAGTCAGAACTGGGTTTAGATGTGCATAAATTGACATTGATTAGGTTGAGAACTGGGCAGTTGCTAAATACCACGACTTTAACAGAGGGAGGTGTGCCTTTAAAACTTATGATACCAAGGCTATAGTAATATTGTATGACGTCACTAAAAGAAGCCACGCCTCCCTCGCCGTGGTATTTAGCGACTACCGTTGAACTGTATTTGTTAGCAATCACGTGATCTGTGATCTGTCATCGTGAGGGCGCCATTGTATCATTTCTTGATTTAGTATTCTACCTGTATACATTTTTTCCTTTGAGGCAGAGAGTGTATGATACTGATAATATGTACAGCTGTATAGTTCTTTACACAATGGGTTTCATAATTAAAATGTACATAATGATAATTCCTTTTTTCGGCTTTTATTTTTCGGTTAAACTATTGTTATGTTTTTAATATTATTTCTGGTTCCTCCATGTAAGATCCATATTGTTAAATATTCACAGTTTGCAGCCGCGTCCTTGCTCGCTAGGTTTCATTTGTACCATTTCTAAGTACAGTAAATCATGTTACTGCATCCTGTGCGTGCCATACCCATTTTATGATTTGCTTTAAATCGCTTGTTGATGGCGCTGTCCTGAGGAAATAAATTTTACCATGATTGATATATGAAGCTTGAAGCAAGTAATACTGGAAGTGGAATATTAGCGGCCTTATTGATCCCTGGGTTCACGCTAACCGATCGCCAAGTCGCCATGGGCGAAAACAATTTTGAATTGGCGAAACAAAAAACAACTACTTTAGCTATTTTTGCGAAAGCTTAAAAATAATAAAAATGGTTTTTTTAAATACTTGCTGAAATACATTGTTTCTTTCGTCCGACCTCTCCATGGAAATATTTTTCCGTCGGCACGATCAAGGCCAAGATCTCCATTTTACGCTACTCCATTGCCAGAGTGCATCGCAAATTATTTTGTTATTTTAAAGTGGGCAGCGTAACAATCAGTGGCTGGATGGTAACGACTACAGTACCGACACAAAATACTGCATTTTTACCTGCGCGCAGGCTTCGTATATCCGTCGTAGCCTGATATAAACAATCCCAAATACGAAGCAAAAGCATGTTTATTTGTATGTGCAGACAGACTGCTGTAGCTTACTGGAATAAACAATGTATTGCTTGATAATTTGTTAATGACAAGCACAAGTTCAGACAGTATGGAGTAGTTTTTCAATAAGAAAAACGTACAAACTACAATTGACTTCTGAATTATTTTTTTTAAATTATTAATTAGCCTGGCCTAGGCTAGCCTATTTTTAGTTCCTATGCGTGTAATGCAATAGGAACTATTGTAATCACTCTTGCTATTTCCTATGTTTTTTATTGTGTGTAGTGTGTATGTGTGTGTGTGTAGACATTTATGCAAATGCGCATGCGTCAAAGAAAAGTTTTCCGACATCTT